TCCTTAGTTTAATTAACTTTTATTAAAAAGTAAATAAAAATAATAATATTTTTTAAAAAAGGTTTTTTTTAATATATATTTTAAAGAAGTTTTTTAACTTTTTATTTTTTATTAATGGTTTTAAATAATTTCTTTAGTTATTTATAAAAGTCTTAGTGTATTTTAAAAACTTCTTAAGTTTATAGTTTTTAGTTATTTAAAGCATTAACCTTAAAATCTTTTATAATAGGCTAGGTTTATTTTTTTACTATTTCCGTTAAGTAAATAATAATAAAAACAGTTTTATTTTTGTTTTTTTTTAGTATAAATAAAAAATATTTAAAATAAATATTAAATTTTATAAAGTATTTATTTATTTTTTAAAGGTTTTTATTATATAAGTTAAGTCTTTTTAATTATAAAATTTTATTATATTTTTTTTTTTTTATTTTAAAAATATTAATTTCTCTTTAAAATATTTTAATTATAACTACAGTCTATTTTAAAGTTAAAGTTTTTTTATTAATTATTACTTTATTACTTTTTTTAAAATTATTTTTAATTTTAATATTATTATTTAAGTAATTACTTTAGGTTTTATTTTTATAATTAATTCTAATATCTAAGATTTAAAATCTAATTATTTAATATTTTATTTTTTATTATCTATAGATCTAAGGTAACTATTTAAATAAAAGTTATTAATATATAACGGCCTATTCCTATATATTAATATAAGTTAGCTATTCTTAAGGGATAAACCTCTGGGTTTTAGGTTTATATTAGTAAAGCAATTAAATTAAATATAAGTGTAGTTTTATTAATATTATATAATTAATAAATATAGTAGCTGAATTTAATTTAATTATTATATTAATAACTAGCTATTTAAGCTATTTAAATAAGTATTATAAATATAAATTTATATATTTAGCTATTTTAAATATAGTTACTTTAGGTTATATTATCTTAGGATAATTTAATTGTTGTAAGTTATATTATCTATATATGATTTTTTTCTAATTAGTTGGTTTATTTAAGGATAACCTAGAGTCTACCTACCCTGTAGGCCCTTATTAAGACCATAAAGGTTAGGTCGTAACAGTATTTTTTTTATTTTATAAACTTTTAATAATATTAATAAATAAAAATTTAAAATTAATAAACTTAAAAAAACATATAAAATATTAAATTTAATTTATTAATTACTTTATTTTATTATTTATAAAAAAATTATATTTATAATTTTTATTTTAATAATAAAAACTATTCAATTATTAATAAGTTTTAGAAAAATTATAGTAAAATAATAATAATATTATTTTATAATATTTATATTTTTTATATAATTTATAAACTTTTTTATTAATATATATTAGTTTAACTTTATAATATGGAAGTTAAATTTAATATCAAAATAAAAGGTTCAATGCTGTAACAGCTAGTTCAACAAAAGGCTATGCCCCAGCCTTTGAACTTTATAATATATATTAATTTTAACTTTAAATAAATAAAAATAATAAAAATATTATAATTATTATATTTTATAAACTTAGTGTTATTTAAAGTAAAAAGTATTTTTAAAGTAATTTAAATTTTAAAAAACCTTTAAAAAATATTAAATAATAACTTAATTAATTTAAGTTAATAATTTAAAAAAAAAATTAAAAATAAAAAAAAGTTAATAATAATAAATATTATTATTAATAATGTTAATTATTTAAATAATAAATTTATTAAATAATATTATTAAAATAATTTTAATTTTAATTATAGTAATTAGGTTTTAAGTTTTTAAATTTTTTAATATATATAAAACTAATATTATATATTAATAAATAATTAAAAAGTTATTAAAATAATTAAAACATAAAATAAATAAATTTACTAAATTAATTTAAATATTAAAGATAAAATAAATTAAATATATAAAAAAAAATACTTTAACTTTAATTAAAAAAATACTATAGGAATATAATTTGTTATATAAGTTAAATTATTTTAATTATATTATAACTTAATGTATTTATAATTATAACACTAAGTTTATAAAATAAATATTATAAATAAACTTTAACTTATAGAGTTAATTAAAAATATATTTACTTTTAAAAAATAAATTAAAGTAAATATTATATTATATATATTATTTAATATATTTACTTAAAAATAATTAAAATAATTAATTATAAATATAATATATAAATTAAATTTACTTTATATATTTTATTAAATTATATAATTATTTATATTACCTAAATAATTTAGCTTAATTTATTTACTAATATAAACTAAAATTTAAGTTTATCCTTTAGAAATTTTAACTTATATTAACTTATAGGTTTTATTATATTCTGTTATACTATAGCGCCAACAGGGTAAAAGATTAAGCTAAAAATTATAATTATAGTAATTATTATAACAGAATCAGCTGTTTATAAGGGATTTAACTATTACAATAGAATGGGTTGTAATATAATTCTCCCTTTTCAGTAGGCTTATCCTTAAGCCTTTGCTATAAAATAAGGAACCTCAGTTATCTTCAGCAGTCTTTAACAGCTGTTCTAACCCCTAAAAGCATTACTTAAACGCTCCCTGTACCATTAATATATAGTCCTTTATTAATAGCCGAGGTTTAATATAATTTAGCTTACAACGATATAATAAACTGGAATTAAACCTTAGGCTACTAGCTTATTGCAATTATAATATTACGTTCTGTTATACTATAGCACTAACAGGGCAAAAGATTAAGCTAATAATTGCAATTGTAGCAATTATTGTAATAGAACCAGCTGTTTATAAGGGATCTAACTGTTACAATAGAACGGATCGTAACAGGTTTATAGTTTATTATAAATTATTAAATAATTTTATATTAAATTATTATATTTTTTAAATAATTTATTTTTATATCATTAAATTATTTCAATACTTTAATAATTTGCTTTTAATTAGTTAAGTAAACTAACTTTTATCTTGGAGCATCTACCCTGTAGGTCTATTGTCCCAACTCTAAAAGCTGAGTCATAACAATAAGCGCTATAATTTAGTAGATAAATGCTATAATTTAGTGAATAAATGCTATAATTTAGTGGATAAGTGCTATAATATAGCATTAACTTCAGGTATCTATCGATATCAATATAGCAGTATTTATCGCTACATAACCTTGCGTCAGCCAGCTATATTAAATACCTTATAGCCTAGGATAGATACTTCATTTTACAAGGCTTACAGAATCTGCTAAGCTCACAGTCTAAAGCGAGGTTAAGCGATAGCTTTTAGTTGGCTGATTTATAGATAAGGAAGTCTACTTTTGAATTGTATTACAGCTATAGCGAACTATCTTATACCTTACCCCTCGCCCAATCCAACAGCCAATCCAGCCAATCCACTAAATCTGCCAAACTCCCTCTAGTATAGCGGTGTGCGGCGTACAGCGTCTGACGTATGGAGCGTAGCGGTATATGGTAAGATCTAGTGCAGTGCTGGATTATTAGTGCAGCAATATTGCTAGATTATACGCAATAATTAACTGACCTTCTAATAATGCAGCTGCTTTAGTTAAAATAAAGAAGAAGGGAAAAAGTGATTAAGGAAATTTTAGCGAAGGAAAGGTCTTCTGCTACCTAAGGCTGCTGGAAAAAACCTACGGCTGCTTAAGGTTGCTGAAAAAGATACAGAGGAGTGTATAAATAAACGAACAATACGCAAGCTCAGTAAAAGCAGAAGCGATAAAGGTATTTCCTATAGTAAATACTATAAAGGGTACATCTAATCTGCAACTTTTGCAACTTCTGCAAGTCTAATAATATCTGCAAGCTTAAGGGCCAAATTACTAGTCTTCCACCCACCCGGTAAGCCTAGTAGGATCCCTCATTTTCCCAGTAAGGTATGCTATGGTTTATTTTGGCCATGTCTTGCAAGGTCTCCCCTTTTGGCACAAATTCCATAACCATCCTACTTGGTTGTGACTTGGGTATATACTCCGTCGAGAAGTTAGTCACTGAGGGTATTAGTGAGGTGAAATTGACGCTGTAGTTTATTTCGGGATCAATAAGACTAAACTCGAAATCATTGCTGCATTCGAAGCTCTGGTGGGACAGGAATGTAGTGGTGCCGTTACCCAATGGAGTCGTCCAGAAGTTCTCGAGTTTGGAGTGATCCAAGTCAGGAGATGACAGATCCTTTTGCCAGTTGTATGGTAAATCCATGTCCTTCACGTCCTCTTGGCTATCCATGTCCTTTTCATGTTGATCCTCGAGCCGTTGAGCCAGCACACCCATGGCGGCCTCGTCTTCGGGAAAAACAAAGTAGGTGGGGAGATTGATGTCGCTAATTTCCCGGATGTAGCCAAGCTTCTGGGCAATATCATGGATGACCGGAAGTCCTCGGTCGTTGAGATCGGGCTCCCCAAGCTCCCATACTTGGGAATTGCGAACCATGTTGTAGAGCTTATGAATTGTGGCAACGAGGGTAAATTGAGTGCTCTCAAGAACCTCGGCGTATCTAGGAGGTGTCAGTATGGGTTGCCCAGACGTATGATTTGTTTTTCAAGGTAGGACATACCGTCCGGGCAATTTCCTGTACTGAACTTTCTTGCGTACACCAGCAGTGCAAACAAGGCCGTCGTCCTTGCATCGTTTGCAGGGGAGTTCGCCATCACACTAATCGTTTCAAGATCAATTTTCACGTTCTTATCACTTGAAAACTAAAAGGGTCTTTGATACCTTCGTTTTTTTGACTCTACATCTCTCACACGCCTTGGAGACTCGCTGACATCGCCTGTTGGTACCGGCAGCCCGAGCGACATCGTCGTTCTGGGGAACAGAATAGGCGTTGGCACTGGCATGTTTAGAAATACGTCTGCCTGATTTCGCAGACTTAGATTTGGATGTGCTTTTCCTTGAGGGCCCCAATTTGTTCTTTGCTGGAGGAGAGAATAAGATATGTGACCCCATGATCCAATGAGCTTATGATCATGACTAGACGAGACAGGCTGAAGGTCGGGGATGTAGGTGGTAGAGAGAAGAATAGGCTTGCTATCAATGGATGAGCCTAACTTGTCAAGTGTAAATTCTCAAGCGTTGTCCAGAAGTAGCTTGTAAACAAGGTAGAAGAGGGAGGCAGTGGCTGGTATGGTGCTAGCACGTAGTTTATCTATCGACGAGTACTCCGTAATCCAAGAGGTATATCAGAAATTCGGGTTCTGGCGATACCTTGCATTAAGGATTAGAATGAACTTTGGGAGTGCCTTAGGCTAGGTAATGGGTGAGTCCGGGTAAGAGCTCCCTTTTTTTAGAACTTCCTTAGTCTCCAGGATTGATCCTTTTAAATCTCCAGCCTCCTGTGTTCGGGTGAGCACCGCATGTCTGTGGGCATGCAAGTGAGATAAATCTATTGTAAGTGGGTTGGGCTGCAATGTATGTGATTACTACTCGTATTACCTGGTTGAAATTCCCATAATTCCTGCACCGGCCCCTGGGCCACAAGTGGGACATGTGGGTTAGCCTTATCATGTTGCATAATGCGATTTGATTACTACAACCGCCATTCTTAAATTCTAAAATCCTGGAAGGCGAGGGACCAAATGATGACTACAGGGCCCGGGGGTTTAGTCATATAGTAAAGCCTAAAGAGCGCAATGGCAGCCAAGCTACTCGACGCCCTGTATTACCGGGATGGGCAGTAAGTGAGTCGGGCTAGGCAGAAATAATATTAGGGTGGTTAGGGTGAATATTTCCGCGGAACTCAGTGATGAGCAGGTAAATGATGTGCTGGACGTGCTCGTTTCCAAGGCTTGGAGAATGGGACTCGCTGTGAAGAGGGACGATACGGCTCGCATCTTGTATGCTTACTAAGAACTACAGATCGACCTACAGATCGACCACGAACAGGAGGCCTCTGAATCTTCACGCGTTTACACAGCCATCAAAAACCCCATTTTATCCAGTCTGCTAAAGTGATCGGATACTTCAGTCCACTGCTACCGTGAGTCTTATGCGTCTGCTGTTATAGAAGTTGGTCATACCTTTCGAAAGCATTATGGTCTTGGTGCTGGCGGAAGCAGATGGATCAGTGTGTCATATCCTCCGCATTTGGCTATTGAGTCACTCATTGCGAAAATGAATGGTACAGAGGCCTGTTTGGCATATCCTGAGACCGCAAGTGGCTTGGCATCTACTATCCCGGCACTTTGTCGACACATCGTCGGATACAAATCGCATTACATGTTTCTTTCAGAGAAGGTTAGCAAGATGGGCTGCATTATCACATTAGTACGAAACTCCACGCAGGTGGTCAGATACAAAGATAGTACTAGCCTTCTTCGGTTTACACGGAATTCCTTCTCCAAGAATAGCAATGCATACCTTACGATATATCTATCTCTGGAGGACAAAGCTGCAGTATCCCATCTTTCCGAGACCGTAGAACAGCTCTACTAATCGCTATGTCCCCAGTTTGGACTAGCCATGTTGGTTTACTCCCAAGGTTACCACCAGCGATGCAAACAATTCCAGCTCATCTTGCTCAGGCTCTTTATTTCGGGCCATTCTACAATTTTGGTTTCCCTGGCGCATATATAGTTGGGTCGCTAAATGTAATTCAGGGGCTAAGATTTACAAGTAAAGAATATATGTTTACAACTTCTCCGCAGCCATTTGTCATGGATATGATTCGACAATCTTTGGAAAACAACCTGCAATAGGAAGAACTTTAGTAATTGGAATTGATTATAGGAGAATCACCGGTGATTGCAAGCTTCCCTCCTACACCTACAGGTACCCCACCTTTTAGGTACCCCTTCACCAAAAACCTCACCTCATTCAACTAGCTATCGAACAAAACGTCTTCTACATTTACTTTTACTACCCCTGCTGGAGATCCTAGGACAATAGCAGTTTCTACCGACCCCTAAGGAAGCCAGTTAAAAAACTCCCCCGCTACCACCGGGCAGACAGCTCCCAACAGACAACAAAAAAAGGCCACCCCCTCCATCCCAGGGAAAAGCAAAACGACTGTCCTCGCTCTCACCCCCAAGAAAAAACAACGCTTCAGCGGCAAATTCACGACGGACAATATACCAGCACTCCAACTGGACAAAGGCAAAGCAAATCCCTTTCACTTTATACAGAAACCACCGGAGGGACTCAGTTTCTCCCTTTTCAGCGGCATTAAGGAAGCCACCGCAACCAACCAAAGGCATAAATCCCTCACACAAAGCAGAATTATAGGACAACTGGCAGAGATTAATGCAATACACAAAGCCAAACAAACTGTTTTTATTTCAACCGCTACGGCTATAGACAAATACCTAGCAACCTTTACCATAGGCTACTGCCTAGCAGCGGCCAAACAAATCCACGCTACACTGGCAACCGCCCTCGAAACCTTCCTCTCTCCAGAACACAATCCAAAAGGTCCCAAAAACCCCGACACTCTAGGCAGCAAGAGACTCACTGCCCAACCGCCTAAGAAAGCATCAGCTAATACATCCCACAACACAAAGGTCAAATCAGGGGAAACCAAAGGACCCACTGGGACAGCAGCAGCCAAAACTACCCCGCCCTAAAGGCCAGAAGAAGCTAAAAAGATTACGTAAGCAGAAATTGCATTACACAGGGCTACTTACAATAAAAACCCTTAAAGGGGATAAAACAATAAGAGAATATCTGCCTCCAACAGCAAAGGGCCAGCCCCCGCTAACGAAAACAAGGAAAAACAAAAGCCAAAGACAACCGCATAGAAACCCGACGACTGCATCTTCATCTAAGTCCCCCTAAACCACAAATAGAAAAAAATAACGGCCATCGGGGCTAAACAAGAGTTAATGAAGGGAATAAAGCTCAACAGCAACGACCTCACTTACTTTCAGGAGGTCCATTCAGACTTCGCCCTCCAGCCTAAGAACTAAAACATCAAAAACAAAATCCTCGCACTCACACCAAAAGCAGAAAAAGACAACTTAAAAATCAAAGAAACGTATATATAAAAAAGTTTCCTCCTGCACAGTGTCCTAAAAACATACACCAACAAATCCGGAACCCACTTCACTGATGCACTAATCCCCGAAGAGGCACGCGTCAAAGCGGGCGCCAAAAATCTACCGACCTTCTACCGGAAGGCTCCCTTTAGCAAAACCCCAAACACCTACTACTATTTCATAGCCTTCGGGGAAAACGTGAGGGCAGGCTTTAAGCTCTTCAACTGCTCGGCCCCAGCCGAACTAAAAATACAGCAGCCTAGGATTACATAATACCCCCGCTGCTTTAGCTTCCACAACCCCAGAGGCTGCACCAGGACCGAAAGGTGCATAAAATGCAGGAAACCGGCCGCCAGCCATAAAGACACTACAGCCAACTGCTCCTCCCCTCCACAATATGCAAACTGCAAAAAAGCACACAGAGCCGACGCACCTAAGTGCTACGCTCGCCCCACGATAAAAGATAGGACCAAAGTACATCCCACCAAAGAACAGCTCAAAGCTATTAAAGAACTAAGCCAACAGAAATTCCTGAAAACCAACCCGCCCAAGCCTACCGAAGATAAGGAAAAAGACAAAAAACCTGAGAAGACATTGGCTAAACGCATCCGCAGCCCACCGCCTCCGGACCCCTTAGTGCCCCGCGGACGGCCTATAAGCCAGGTTGTCATAAGCGTAGACACAGACGTAGAATCCTTACGGAAAAGCTCCCCGGCCCAGTCTAAGGTATACGTAGCAGACCCTGAGGGCGACGACACCATAAAAAACAACCCCGCGCCCGCCTGGGGAAGGCAAAACGGACAACAAAGCGTTAATAAATAGTAGACAGCCCCCATTAAAGTCACTGAAGAAACACTAGCCTCAAAATCTTCCAAACCAACGTAGGGAGGAGCAGTCTTACCCAGGACACCGCCTTATCGCTAGTATAAGAAGGCAGCTTCAACGTAGTATTCATCCAGGAGCCCTACGCCTAATAAGACAACAATACAGGCAGAAAGCAGACGAAAAACCACCCTAAATACCAAATATATAACCCACTCAACGACTGAAGAAACACCAAACCATCAGTCCTTACCTATATTAAAATCTCACCCAACCTCCCCAATAAACAACTCTCCCCTCCCAGCCTAAAGAACAGATACGTTTACTAAATCGAAGTATGCAGCTACACGGTCGTTAACATCTACCACCGCGCAGCAGACAACACCACTACAGAGACCCTCACTAAATAAAAATAACCCCCCCCCAAATCCATTATTGTAGGCGACTTTAACGCAGTCCACTGGTTATAGCAACTGGGTAAGGACTCAGACGCAGCCAGCAACAGGATCGCCAAATGGGCGGAGAAGTACAATCTCTACCCTTCCCTCACAAACTTACCGATAAAACACTTAGGATAATACATCAACCTAATATTCTCCAACTGCCCAACCTCTTCTAAAGTCAAACACTCATTTAACATAGGGTCGGACTACTTCACTATAGTTACCACCCTCCCTGAACCACTCCGTATTACCCTGGGAGTAGGCAAAAAGTACATACCGATAGAATGCTAGAAGGAGTTCGGTCAACTTATACACTCTTTTATATAGACCCTCCCCTCCGTTAACCTTACCTCCCCCTCCAGGGATAACCTGGATAGATATACTAAAGCACTGTAAGACCTCTTTAAGTACGTAATAGAGGCAGCAGGCAAGACCAGACACTAAAACGGCCATAGCGCCCCATAGTAGACGGACGAGTGTAAAGCGGCCCACTAGGCTTTTAATCGCTCCAGGCCCAAATCAGCGGAGTACAAGGAAGCTAAGAAGAACCTAAAGACAGTCATTCACCGGTGCAAACGGGTACACTGGGACGAGATTATTGCCAACGCCACTGCAGTTAGGAATATCTAGACAGTCGTAAAATAGCGCAAAGCCACAGACCGCTTTCAACCCCCTCCTTTAGTTAACGGAGACATTAACATCTCAGACCCCACTAAAAGAGTAATATACCTTAGGGATAAGCTCTTAAAGCGGAAAACCATAGAGGAAGACACACCAGACCTATAGGCGCAGAAGCTCCCCGTCAATAAGAACATAATATAGGACACTACGGTCATAGAGGCAGAGGCCAGGAAGGCCACCACCGAATTAGGCAATACAGCCCCCGGGGCCGACGGGATCTCAGTCACTCTGCTCTAACTAACTTAGCCAGCAGTCGGAAGGTATATCACTGACCTCTTCAGAGGCTGCCTGGCGGCTGGCTACCACCCGCTCCCTTTTAAAAGTACAGAAATTACCATTATCCCCAAACCAAGTAAACCCAAGAAAACCTACACAACCCATAAGGGGTACAGGCCTATCTCCCTTCTCTCCTATATTAGAAAGGGACTTAAGAGACTGCTGGCCAAAAAAGTCTTACTCCTGGCTATAGAACATAAGATACTCCCTAAGCAATACTTCGGAGCCCTCCCCAAGAGATCGGCAATAGACCTAATAGCCTACCTCGTCTACAACACTGAAGTAGCCCTCGCCCAGGGGTCAGTTACCACCCTATTGACTTTAGACATCTCTGGAGCCTTCGACATCGTCATACGGAACCGCCTCATCCTAAGACTCAGGGAGCAAAGCTGGCCTATACTCTTTATAAAGTGGGTCAAGTCCTTCATAAGCGACCGCAAGGCACTGGTCCACAACGGATACAGCACAACTCTCCCAAAAACGGAACTGGAATACAGGGCCCCTCAAGGCTCGCCCATTTCACCAATCGTTTCTATACTCTACTTCTCCCCCATCCTAAAAATCAATAACCCCAACGTACGCTTCAGATACACCGACGACGTAGCAATCCTCGCAGTCGGGGCCGATACTAAAGAGACGACCAGGAAACTCCAATGGGAGCTTTAAGACACCTTAGATTAGGGACGACGCAATGCAGTGTCCTTCGACCTAAATAAGGCAGAGCTTATCCACTTCTACCACACTAAAAAATAAACACACGAGGAGAGTATAAACTTCGAGGGGAAGACTATCGCACCATAGGACTCAGTCAGGTGGCTGGGGGTCCATTTTAACTCCAGACTCTCCTTCAGGAAATACATAGAAGTAATAACTAAAAAGGCCCTCAAAACAGCAAATTTCCTTAAGTCACTTAATAAAACACAGAAGGGCTCTCCCCCAAACGCAGTCGCACTCACAGCTAAAGCCTACGTCACCCCAGTAGCTCTATACAGTATAGAGGCCTAGTGGCCCAGAGACAAAAGACAAAGCGCATCCTGCCCCTCCAAATAAGTAACCACCGGCACCTCGAACCTAGTGGAGAAAATAGACAAAGCCTTCAGAACGGCAGCCAGGGCAGTCCTCCCCGCCTAGAAGACAACCAACACAGCGGTCGTACACAGAGAATCCAGAGTCCCCCCTACGCCCGTAGCATTCACCCAGGCAAAACTCCAGACATCAGCCAGGTTCGCCAGCCTGGACAGGAATCACCCCGTCAGCAGACGCATCGACAAGAAGCTTCCGCCCAGACTCCCCATAACCAGACTACAACGCACGGCCTCCCTGGTCGGTAAAACGGTCAGACCCTCCCTCTTCACCAAAAACAACAGAGCGGTCCTAGCAGGGCCGGACTTCCGCGGCCTGCCCAAAGCCAAAGCAGCAGAAAAACACCTTAAGTTACTCAACGCCCTTCCCCAGACTACGCTCCTAGCATACTCAGACGGGTCACAAAACAAAACGGAAAACACAGGATAGGGCGCCGTCACGTACCACAACTACAAGTCTACCTCATCCTGCAGTTACCTAGCAAACGCTAAAGTCTACAATACAGAAGCAGTTAAGGCCTTCGAGGCCATAAAACTCACCAGAACGCAAATTGCGTTAAACCCAGACATTAAGGAAATACTCCTCTTCTTAAATAACTCTGCAGTGGTAAATGGGATCTTAAGGACTACACCAGCGTTATCACAAAGCGCATATATAGGCCTAAGAAAAATAGCTAAAAAACTACAGCCATACGTCACCACTAAGGTAGTATAGGTTCCCGGGCATAAAGACGTACTAAGCAACGAAAAAGCGGACAAACTAACTAAAGAAGGTTTAAAACTCCTAAAATACACAAACAGTTGCACCACAATCACCTATATTAAAAGGTAGGCGAGGAAAGAACGGAGGTTAATATTAGAAGCCTACTGGGACGACAACTCCCCGTTATACTACAGACGCTGGCAGCTCAACGCCCTTACAATACCACCTAAGCTCCACCTTCTGCACCCCATCCTCCACAGACTTCTAGCTGAGAGGTCTAGGTACGGCGACTTTATAAAATACCACGAGAGGTTCAGCCATGACATAAGACCTACTTGCAAGTGCAGCGAGCCCAGGACCCAGGGACACTTCGTGGAGTGCCGGATAGTCGCACCCTTCCTCCCAGATATCCCAGAAAAAGACCTCCTATTTAGAGCTATATATCTTACGTACCTCCTAGGCTATAAAGGCTATAAGGAGTTCCAGAAACTAGTGGAGGAAACAAACCCGTATAGCCCCCCTCCCGCAGATATAAACTAACACTTCCCCCCTTATTTCTTTTATTAAATTAAAACGTAGCAAACGCAGGGTCTAAACAACTGCGGCTTCTACCGTCCTAGTGCCCAGATAAGGACTTATGTAACTAGTTTACTTAGTGGACGTTAATAATAAAACAAACAAACAAACAAACAAACATCACCGGTGATTGTACTTGTGCGTTTAAAATGTTATATCATATATCATCTAGCAGTCACATACCAGTCACATAATAAGACAGGGTAACATAATCTCGGCCAATTCCACTCATGCCGAACGGCCATTCTTGCCGTTTGATAACATAAGGTGTCAATAGAGAGTTCAACAAGTTACTCAGCGGAATCAATGGAGCTGGTACCACTGAGGATGTATGAAGCAGTTATAGCTCTTTGTTGCCTTGAACCATAGGGAATTCTTCAGAAATCATGGGCTTAGATGATATGAACAATCCGAGTTGTCTGAAAGTGCCCCTCTTCTAGGCTACTGGGGTGCCAGTGGAAGATGGAAAGACACAAAGAAAGAGGGAACAATTTTGCTTCATAGCTCTGGCAAATGGCAATTGCAAGCAATGTTGACTTTGGAAGTCCCTCGAAGCGGGGAAACACGCCCTTCGTTTTTGACGGATTTACCCTCCTTTGTGCCACACAACTACTGAGGAGTCCCTAAGTTATGGAAGGATGCAATTTTCTATCTCATTCAGCCAGGTCATAAGAAGGTTCTGTTTACATATGTAAAGAGTTCGATGATCAGCGGTTAACTCTGATGTGCCTTTAGAATACGTGCCGCCTGACAAATAGGCTGTCGGATTATTGCTGTATGAGACAGTGTGCAATCTCGGGATTCGATTGACTTCTGGGACGTAGGGGAGCGAAAACATCAAGAGCGACTACTCAAGGGAATGAGCTGGTTGATTTTGTCAAGGATATGCTGGGTAAACAGCAACAAGACTTCCTTGAAGATTGGTTGGCAAACAAGACATTAGCCTTGGGAGCGTACGCCTGTCTTGGTTAGATAATGTAAATTTCATTCACTTTTGCGTATGAATAAAACGTCTCTAGTGATAAATTTTCACGTTGTTTTCGAGGAATTATTTCACTATATATATATTTCGGAACCTCCGTTTTCAGCACTTGACCACAGGGCCTCGACAATCCTTACCATGTTACGCGCCTTGCTAATGTCGTAAATGGTTTCGTCGCTGCCCTTACAGAACACGTCCCAAAGCTTTCCCACAGCAGCTTGACCATTCTCATCCTCTTTGATAACCTCTTTCAGGATGACCGTTCCATCTGCATTCGCAACTCTCAATTCGTGGGGGTAGGCGGGAACGTTGATCCAGGTACAGAAGGATAAGGCATTTCTGATTTCAATCTCGCCATTCGATCCTGAAATTACCCACGTTAATCCACCCGAGATGCTTGCTCCAAAACGCAGATTCCATGTAGCGACGGCACCAGAAGACAAGCGTGCGTGGATAAAAGCTTGGTCTGGGGCTGTACGTGGGAAAGCCGGATCCCTCACTTCTTTTGTGCCGATACTAGATACCACTCCATGTGTCTGCTGAATCGAGGTTGAACAGTTTAGGCTTTTAATAGGCCCAAATATTTGCAAGAAAGATGACAGGAACTGTGGAAGGTAGATATCTAGCATAGTACTCCCACCATCCCGCTCCAACACGTCTTCCCTTGGAAAATAGGGAGGAATCATGCCAACAAGGATGCTGCTGCGAATATCCCCTATAATTCCTTCGCGTATGATCTCGGCTAGACGGATATTTATCTTGGAGAATGCGCCTTGGAGGCCAAAACAGACCCTCGATCCAACCTCGCTTGCACAATCCAACAATTCATACGATTGTTGCGGATTTTGTGCTACTGGCCACTCAATAATAAAGCTTTTCCTTTCGCTCTCCAATAATGGCTTCAAAGTTGCGTAGTGTGCAGGTGCTGGGAGAGCATAAACCACAAGATCGATATCGCCATCCTGCGCCAAGGACTGAGGACTACCGTACGCCCTAACAGACAACGGGAGATTAAACTTTGCTACTGCGGCTTCAGCTGCCTGAATAGAGGAGCCTTGCACAGCAACAATCTCGAACTTGTCTGGATGAGCACGTATGTATGGTAGATGAACTGCATTAAGCCAGGTAAAACCTTCAGCTTTAGCTGTTAACCCAACTAGGGCCACACGAGTAACCTTTGCGGGGGTCATAATAACTTTAGGTATGAGATGATGTCTGTGTTTTGCAAAGGTGTTATGATGGTTTAAGGTCTTGAATTTTGCCATTTAAATGCTTTTCCTAACTTCTTGCCCTTTTACCCCCTTTTATTATGTGAGTATACTTACTTCTTCCAATTCATGGTTCTTCCAATTCGTCATCGTGTTCGGGAAAATGATTGCATAGCTTTTCAGATATCCGTCTTGTTTCCGTCCCGTAAAACACCAGTAAGCAGCCATCTAGCCTCTTTGGATTAGCGTTTTCACTAGATCACGATTCATTGAATACGCTCCGTCTATCTTTGTTGTTTTGCGTGACCCACCAATGGCCCTTTAGGATGATACTTGTCCCTCTTCTGGCAACACGACTTCCGTATCAAGAAATAGGAGTGGCTGACATTATCGGAACAGATCCCCTGTTTCGGTTTGCTGATTCCTGTAGGCAATGTTTTGGCCTAATACATTCGATTAACTCGTTGCTGCTGTCCTACTCCTCACGCCGGATTTCTAATCTTGCTTGTACTCGTGTCGCTTAGGCTCCGGCCCCTGGAACCTTTGCGGGATAACCAAATTTGGGTTTGCAGCGTCCTTTTCCGTCAACGCCACTTCATGTCATTAGCAGAAAGGCGGTGATTCAGGTATCTATCTCACTACGGAGTAGATTGGAGAGATCAAGGAACTGCCAACACGCCCTGACTGCCATGATTCCCTCATCTAATCAGCCGCCCAGCCTTACCACTCTTGCTTGCTTTCATGAGTGCATCATGCAACTGAAAATTTAAAATAATAACCCCGAGTTCTATGCTAGATAGTTATCAAGTAAAAGCCCCATGATTGTGGGAAGATCCCAATTATTCGACATGTTGGCACATTTGCAGCACTATTTACTACATTAACAGTGCTAAGACCACCATTATTTCGTTCAAGGATTCCTTTTCTTAATCAAATCAATTAGTCGGTCTACTTTATATGTACCATCAACACTCATAATGGCCATACCGTCCGCCGACTGGGTGCCACGTGGCAACGTAATTGCGATGCTAAACCACTACGCACCGCCAGCGGACAGTTCCTGTCAACCTTTCAACTACGTTGATACGCCACCAGCCGGGCAACCAGGCCGCAACACCAGCGATTCAACCCAAGAAACGTTGATCCACGATTTGCGTGGCCAAGACTCAGTCTTTGACCTAGACAAAGACAAGTTCCAAATAATCACCAATGTAGAAGCATCCTCAGAGCGCTCGTTCACAGACGACACATCTATCAAGGAGAACTACTACCCGGAGGTAAAGCAGCTCCTTGTCAAGCACATAAGGGGCTCCAACAAGATCCACATCTTCGATCATACCATTCGGCTGGCGAACCCGTCTGCGCCGCGAGATCCAGTGACAAGTGTCCATATTGATCAGACAGCGGCATCGGCGGTGAAGCGGGTATGCGGTATTTTCCCGAAGAAGCAGAGATGCTTTTGCAGGGGCGATACAGGATTGTAAATGTGTGGATGCCACTGAACAACAAGCCAGTCGAGTCATTCCCCCTCACGTTTGCGAGCACATATACGCTGGAGGACTGCGATGTGATGCCTATCGAGCATCGATATCCGAATGGGTATACTGGTGAGACGACAGCCATCAAGCACAACCCTAGCCGAAAATGGTATTATCTTAGCGGTATGACCGGCAGTGAGAGGTTGCTCCTTGAGTGCTCCGATAGCGAGCCACTAAAGCCTGGGAGCGGCATTGGCGGTCGCGTGCCACACACAGCCTTTGTCGATCCCCGGACTCGGGAGGATGCAGAAGCGAGGAAAAGCATTGAAGTGAGAGCTTTGGTGTTTGGGCTGTGAGGTAGTGGGTACTGGGGACAAGTTTCGGGACAATTTTTGGCATGCGGTTTGTATGGAATGCATGATTCCCAATTTGCGGCTAGATAGCTCCATTTTCCCAGCATATTAATGGCAATACCTGACCATGTTTAGAATTCTAAGCTAGGAGAAAAAAAAAATGCATCATCGAGCTAAGGGTTGAGGAAAAAAGATACGACAACTGGAGAGATGGGGAAAAAAAAAAAAAAAAACCATTACCCAAGCACAGTCCTAACAAAGTCATAAAGGCCCTTAATTCTACGCTGAAGATTTCATTTCTGATATATATGTATTTAGCTGCACTTTCTCAGGTACTAACCAATGGGCCGAAAGCAGCATGCTTAATATCTTAGAATTCCACCATTTAGGTCAAGCAACAGAGATTTTGGATAGGTATCACCTATCTCGGCTGACTATCGCTAATGTTTACGGTTCGGCCGCCCACAGACCATGCCATTTATAGAACACATTATTCGGATCAAACTTCTTCTTCAGTACCCGCAACCTGCCTAAGCTGTCTCCAAACATCAACTTCGGATTCATTTTTTCTGCTGGTAGAAGTTAGATACATCAAAGTTGCTTTATTCACCGAGCCATCTCAAACTTACCAACGTAGTTCGCATATTGCCCACCAGGGCCCTGATGTCCCTTCTCACGCACTTTCCCTAACAGGTTCCTTTGGAACTGTCTTACTTCATCATCTAGCTCCTCATCCTGCCACATGATCACAGTTGCAAAGTGGTAAAACTCCCCTCGAGAAGGGTACGCGGTAGCGTCCTTAGGAACGGAAATAACCTTGCCCCAAGGCACACATTCGAACATGCACATGGATCCACCCCCAATGCCCTTGTCCTCCACAAAGGCCAAAAATTCATCGGCTATCCGCTGCACAAAGTCAACATCCAGAGGCATAACAAAGTTGGCACCGCCCTGAAGCCGGCGCACACGCTCTTCGCAATGAGGTACGAGATCGTTGGCCTTGTGATACTGCATCTCGGCAGCCAGTACGTTGAGTGGACCTAGGTTCAGCAGCGGCTTGTAGAACTCTTCGCCTTCCTTCTGGCTACCGCTCCGGAAAACCATGCACATGATGGCAGGATCGGAGGCTCCAGGTGCTGATCCGCATACTCCAGCCCAAAAGGCCTCGTTGCCGGTGTGATTGTGGTGGAACCAGTTAGTGAAGGCGACGACAGCGGGGAGTTTGTCGAGAGTGAAGATGATAGGTCCTGCGTAGACTTTCTCCTGATGGTATAGTCGAAGAGTGAAACTTGTGACGACCTATTCACTAAGCTATGTTCCCATCACGGAGACAAAGTACATAGACTCACGCCAAAGTTCTGTCCGGCACCACGTAATGCCCAGAACAAGTCATCATTCTCCTTTTCGGAGGCCGTAACTATGCTACCGTCGGCTAAAACGACTTGTGCACTGAGCAAATTGTCAATGGTTAGGCCAAGCTTTGGCGTCAGCCAACCCATGCCACCGCCGAGAATAAAGCCTCCCACGCCTGTATGGTTAACTGTTCCGCCAACAGTGGCCAGGCCATGCTTTGCACATGCCTCGTCAACCTGCGCCCATTTGCAGCCGCCGCCGAATGTGACAGTCTGTCCGGCGGGATTCACGTGCACTGAGTTGATGCGTCGAAGATCCAGAACCATGCCGCCGTCTGACGACGATGAGCCGCTAGTTGCATGGCCGCCGCTCATGACAGTCAAAGGAATGGCGTTGGCCGTAGCATATTTGACTGTTTTTGAGACTTCTTCTGCATTGTCTGGCTGGACTACCACAGCTGCGGGTTTAACACTTGCCTCACTCCATCTTTTGAGGGATTCTAGGTAGCCTTCGTCGCCGGGCGTGAGGATAACGCCTTTGACAGTGTTGCGCAAGTCTTGAAAATTGTTGGCCATTGTAATTTGTAAGGAGAGCGAGATGAAGAGGGTGCTTAGTAGATTCTAGTTTCTGCACTTTTGAAGACTCTCAAGGTGAGTAAGTGAGACACTCACTCTCGCCTCTTCTATGCCAGGACATAGAGAACTTAAAGCTCTAGTACAGTGGGAAAAAAGTCTAACAGCTCAAATACCACAATTGACGCCCTGTTGAACTCCAAGCCTAGTATGGCAACGCGACTTCCTTTTTGGGCATCATCAACATATTTCATGGAAGGCATCATAAAGGAACCATTATCTATATGCCCATTCTGAAAAAGGAAATCGCTCTGCTATACTCCGTATAAGTATACGATTGATGGAGTCACGGTGGAGCGTCGGCAATAAGCAAGCAAATTAACATTGAACCCAAAAGTCCGTACGGCCAGGGGTCCGAGTGTTAGCGAAACCCGCTGTAATGATTTCCTGCCTCTAGCGCTCACCGCCTTCAAGGCCTGTCGTAGCGATCCAGGGCTGTCATTGTATTTCAATGGACAAGACCTCTGACCTTCTCTGTGGCCTTTTACATGACATTTGCTAAATATGAATGGACTTTTGCTAGCTTGTCTGAAGGAGAATTGTCCTACCGGCCATTTGCAGGTGGTCCTGCAGTTCTATATACAATACCTAGATATCTAGCTTAGCCTATCCATTAATATAAACTAGAATCTAGGTTTATCCCTTAGAAATCCCAACCTATACTAATATATAGGTTCACGGTTCATTACAGTTACTGAAATAAGAAGTGGCTTACTCTGGCTTACTTAACTGTATATAAGCCTTACTACTGATCAGACCGTCAGTCCTTTGTAGTTCTATAGTGCCTACCCTGTTAGCCTATTGTTGCGACTATGAAGGCGTTAGGCTAACTCTCGACTGTAAACATCTCCCTGTTTTCGCTGCTGTTAGTGGTGCTTCAGCAGCTTAAGTGTATTTATATAGCCCCTATTTTAAAAATAGGTGCTAAGGCTTAATAGCCTTTAACAGTATATAAAAAAAGGGAATTTTAAACATTCTTTACTCTTTTTACTTAATTATAAAATATTTAATCTTTATTTTTTACACTAGGGGTTATAAAAAAAATATTATCTTTTTTATAACCCTTTTTTTTATTAAGGGATTTAGCTTTTTTTAAAACTTAACTTTAACTATAGCTGTTACTTTAGCTATAACTTTTAACCTTACATTTTCGCTAAGTTTTTATAATTATTATTTATCTTAACTATATACTTTTTATTTAATTATATATATTATACTATAGTTATTAATTAAAGATTTAACTTATAGCTTTTAAATAAATAATTTTATTAATAAAAAATTAAATATTTAATAATTTAATAATTTAAATAAATAGATTATTAAAAAAAGTTATATTATAATAAAATATATATTTTTTAATTAATTTATATTATATAATAATAATCATTAAATTAAAAATAAAAAAACACTTTTCTATTTAAAAATTATATTATTTTATTAAAAAAAAATTATTTTTTTAATATAAAAGTATTTTTTTAATTTATTTTATTATTTTTTATATTAATTAATATACCTGAAATAATTTATGTTTATATTATAAAAATAATAGTACTTATGTTGCTAACTTAGGCTAACCTCTTTGCCTATATATAATTATGCTGCTTTATCAGCGGGGTCTTTAATGGACAACAAATAAATAAATAAATAAACAAAAGCGTTGGGTCGTGACACGATCCAGCATAAGTCGTTTCTTAAGGGCTATATTGTACCTGGCAAGGTATTCCATTCTGTTCGGGTATCATTTGAATAGCACTATATATTTTGCCTCACTAAGCAGATCTACCACCCCTTTTTACCACCATCCATTAGAGTGTGTATGGGACATGTCGGGCGAAACGCTCGGTAACACATCCTGATATAGGGGATTGTCTATGTCGAACAGAGGGAATGACTCTGAGATTGGTATAGAGGAAGGTGATTCCAGCTGCCCGCCGAAAGGCGCGAGTTTAGCCTTGTTTATGACAGGGCTGGTGGTCAGGCTTCCCAAACTGGTTTGCAGTGGGTTTGAGTTCATGGACCAATTTACTACGGACACGGAGTTCGCGATCGCTGCGTACGTGTTGGCATAGAGAGTGCGGAAAAGGAGCAGCTTCTGTTCCAGCTCTGCTACCTTCTTTGTTAGCATCGCTATTTTCTCTTCTTTGCGGGATCGATAGGCTCTTTGTGCGAGCCGCAATTGAGCTTTCCGTCGCTACATGAAGGTTATTAGTGAGCTACGCCCCACAGCATCCATGTATGCTACCTGTTGCAGAATGCAGAACACAAACTTGCCTCTTTGAGGACCGGCCCTCCACCTTCATCACTGTACAGCCTGGCACGGCCGCGTTTCCCTGCCCCGCGGTTTGATTCTGAGGATGCAGCTTCGGAAAGTGAGTTGTGCGTGTTGCCTTGCCGCTCAGTGGGCGTTTTGTTGGCAACCTGTAAGATCTCCACTGATTCGTCAAGCGAGGATAGATAATCGTAAATTGGATCTGAAGCACATAATTGCAAAGAAATTGCTCGCGAACTCTCTTCGCATGCCATCGTTATGTGTTATTCGCAGGCAAAGTAAACCTACAGTGTGCTCGGAGAACGTTCGTACAAATACATTATCATAAGAGGAGATCTTGTCAGACTGCTGTGAAGTATGTTGAGTGCATCTATATATACTCTGGAATCTAGACTCTGAAGGTATCCACATGGAAATAAGGTACCACAGAAATGGTATTTTGTGCTATGAATACTGGTGGAATCTGCCGGAAGATTGACCCATCGTAGTGAACATATACTCCGTACCACCGATCAGATTTTCTTGTCCAATGCAGATATGACGCCCGAATGGATTATAAAAAATTAACTTTTAGTGCAAGAGGGGCATATCCGGACTGACAACCCGGTTCAGTTATTTCGACTTCCTTGTTAGGAAAGGTCACCAAATGGGACCCTCGCACATAATTATTAGCATTGAACAAGCAACTGGACATGGTTTTAATAGCGGCTATGGGTCGGTTGCTTCATGTCCAACTTAGAGATATTGTCTACACTCTCCTGATGAACAATCTCGGCTTCCTAAAATGGTGTTTACGGGTTCGAGTGATCAGATCACATGGCCATACAGTGACACTTTATCATGCAGCCGAGAACATGGTCGAAAAATCGTTGATGTAAGCTTATTTTCCTCTGCCACAAAAAATGTGCCTCCCAATGCAATGAAGCGACTTCCCATTTCAGAAGAATGGCAGGTAAAGCGGAGAAAACTGACCAAACTTCCTTTTGCGGGGCTTACAGGTAGTTGGAATTATATAATGACTGTTGAAGACAAGGAAGCATGGGCCATTCCTACACGAGGACTCCGATAGGCGCTTTCGAATTCAGCCAGTTTGTATTAATTTAGCCGCGCTTTGCGGCCTTCCGTTCTGACGGGTGCAGAAGTTATTGCATACATCACTTCTTCGTAAACTCTACCTATAACGACGTTCATCCCTTACACGATAGTCGCAGGTTCTCCTTTTCAAGCATCTCAGTTTTCTCCAACGCTCAGAAATTCTCAGCTCATCACCAGTGATCTTCAAAACCAGCAATATGGACTCGCCTATGATACATCGGCCTCGTAGGAGGGGGTACAAATAGACTCTAGGATTAACGCTATTCCTTTGACTGCTCCTTCCATGCAGAATACTTGCGATATATGTCTTTCTGAAAAACCTGCTTCAGTTCCGTTATCGCAGGTATATCTAGAGGCAGTCTGGCTTGTATTGCGGCAATCCCGCAGAGATCATTTTTCCGATCAATAAACCAAATCAACGTCGCTCCACCACCCCAACTAAGTGTATTTGAGCCGTAAAAGCCATCAATGTCTTCTAGAGTTAATAGGCCACCGAGTCCGTAGCTTATCTTGGCATCTGGATTAACACCCATCCGAAAGAGAGCGCCCCATGGACCAGCCAACACAGCTTGATGCCCTTCAGTGGACTCTGGTGTAAGATGGTCTTTGAACATGTCCTCAACGCTATCGGTCTTGAGCAACTTGCCATCGTTGGCCAGGAGCGAGTGCAAAATCTTAACATAATCACTGCCGGGCATAAACAAGCCGTGACCACCAAAGTCTCCTTTTCCATATAGATTCAAATCGCCCTGCTCGCCGAGGACAGCACGCCCCTGGCCATTCGGATCATCGGGATTGAGATCAACGAGCCGGACGCGCAAGTTCTCGCGTGTAACAGGGTAGAACTGGGCATCTTTGGAGCCAAGAGGAGCCAAGATGCGCCGCAACACATAGTCGCCTAGGGTGTATCCCGTAACTCGCTCAACAATACGCCCTGCCCAGTCTGGTCCATGGCCGTAAGTCCACCCCGCACCAGGTTGATGAGACAGAGGATAGATCAACAACTCTTCCACTGATTTCCGCTGATCAATTGTTCGAGGGGAAAATTGCTGACGCCATTTTCCCACGAGAGGAGCCAAGAAATCGTATGCAGTGCCAGCGCTGTGAGTAAGCAGCATTTTAAGCGTAATAGGGCGCTTTGCTGGTTCTAGAATTGGTGTTTTGTCATCCTCAGCAAATCCTTTGATCACTTCTTTGATGCTGAGCTCTGGTGCGATGGAGGAAAGGTCGCCGTCCAGGGTGAGCAGGCCGTCTTCAACGCACTGGAGGGCAGCAATGGAAGTAACCAGCTTCGTAGCGGAAGCCAAGAATAAAACGTCATCTAGCCGCTGTGGTCTCTTCTCTCCCGACAGTAGAGTGCGCTCTCCGATCGCTTTGTTATACACGAAATCGCCATTAGAATTAGTGGCACAGATGACAGCTCCGTTGATCTTCCCAGAATCCTTTGCGGCTTGAAAGCTCGTCTCAATGTTGTTTGCCATTGCGAGCGTAGTTGCGGACGCTGAGTGAAAAGTATTCGTCTCCGATCTTAAAGAACCATGAAAAGAGTTGCATATACCTGAGAATATTGGCGGCTTTATATCTCTCCACTTCAAACAGAGAACTTACCAAGCCCAAGGTAACTCCCATCACCTTTAGCTTTACGATATTAGCTTCGCCTGCCCGTGGCAAACCGACTCCTCCCAATGACCTGCAACGAGACCCGACACAAACAGTTCTTAACTATACGGCCTGTATAGCTGAACCACTTCTCAACTGGTCCACACACACACAGCTGGGGGCGGTTTTCTTCAGAAAAGTCATCATATTTCTTCTAGCAATACGAATTCCAAATCAGCAATTGGAATCAAAGTGGTACTATCGGGCGAATTGCCCGATTCGATCGGCTGATTCTTGGTCAGCAGAATACTTGCTGACAGTAGTAACACCTTACGGGATGAAAGATGGGTTGTCCACTATCCCCTTATTTCCCTTCAAACTTTCAACACCGTGGCTGCTCTGCTTGGCCTTGCCACAGGAGAACTTCATTACCTCACGTGGCTTAGGCCCATGGTCGGAATCCAATCCAGGGTGTACGACTTCCTTTTTCGTGAACGCCCCTTGATGGACTGCTAGGGCGGGGATGTGGGGCCCGTCCCAAAGGCCAAATACTGGTCGTGCGGAACAGACAGCTGTAGCGGTAGGCCAAGCTGAGGCTGCAGCGGTGCTACGCCAAGTGGCTTACGAGGCTCATGCCACCAACAGCAAGAATCCTGGGGACATAGCTCTCCAAGGTTGAGTCGTCAGTTCCTTATAAATTAATAATTGACGAGCTCAGTTGTTTAAAAAAAGCCAATGCCGACACAGAAGCTGAACAACGAGATGGTGAAAGGATTGGTTATCTCAGGGGCGATCACCCTGCACGAGATTGTGCTGTATTGCATAGTCCCTTTAGCTGCCATCTCCCCTGGCTCTGGGGACTTCGTCGCAATATGATCGCGTAATCAACACGAAAACGTTGGGATTTGTCCTATCCCAAGGTCATTTCGCTCTGCTACTCGGCAAGACCGGAGTTGACCCTCGAACTCCTTTATCCCAACAGTCGGGTAACTGGGGAGAGTGCTGTGATGAAAGAAGTATTCTTGGCTGGAACAGTGGCGACATAGTAATGATAATGGCAACGTGTGAGTGGGAACGGCACGGGAACGTTTACAGAAGTCGCGGCACGGAAGAGTGAAAGTGGATGATCCAGATGATTTGTTAGTCTGCCGTCAAATTTTGCTTGCCAGTGTATTGTCAGATTTTAATTTCGTTTGAAGTGTGATTCTCGTTTAGTACCTGTATAAAAGGCATGAGCCGCTACTCAAAAGTCCCTTTCAAACGCTCGTTAATAGCATTTGAGTATAGACAACAACTAACACAAGCCAAGTAAGTAATATTTTTACCCCAAAATCAATATCAAGTATACTAATTAAATGTACAAAAGTCCTTTCAGTCACAACAATGAAAGTCTCACTCTTCATTGCAGCTGCTCTCTCCGCCCATGCTCTCGCAAATCCCGTCACGTCAGATGGCTCTAGCCTCGAACGCCGTGCGTATGGCCTCTGGATAGATGTTTTCACCGATGGGTGGTGTAACTCTGGGAAAGCAGCACAGCCCATAAGTGGCTGGGCGTGGGATGGACAATGCAAAAACTTGAAACCTGGTATCTATGGGGCTCAATTCGGAGATTTTACTAAAGGGGCATGGGAGAATTGCAAGGTGAAGTTTTGGCAAAATCAAAACTGTCACGGCCTTGCAACAGTCTTTCATCCAAACGAACATATTCGTCCTTGCGGCAAAGTTGATGGGTATGGCAGCTTTAAATGTACCTATGATTGCATGGCGGTTGCGAACGATGGGAATGGCAACTTTCACATCCCCGGTGGTGCAGCAAGTGTACAGATTACCTGCTAGACAGGTAGCAGGGCAAGGAACAGTACCTCTGGGAAGTTCGCGATTGGTGCGATATCTTCGTTAATGTACAGTCAAGTCTAGGCATATCAATGATTTTTCCGTTGGAGGGGCGACACTAGGGGCAGGAGTTTTAACCTGAATCTCATAGTGTCCCTCAGAAAAGTAATCATACCCCTTTTTGTAGTACAATTTCCCAGAAAACGAACTATGAAAGCCCTACACCTTCGGAGGAAATGCCCGCTTTGTGTGCTGATTATCGGTAAGAGGAATTCGTGATAAATACCGTCAATGCCTTTCCGCTCAGAGCTGAGTTTAAGATGGCCCTTTAGTTGCCCTCAATATGCCCTAACCCGCCATGAGGCAGGTGTGTTTGACTCGTGTCGGGCTTGGCAAGCTTACGCGAAGCGTTGAGTTGGGGTGTGCGACTTCCTTTTCCGTGAACGCCACTTGATGGATTGCGACCGGCTATCCAAATCCTTGGGTCTACGGAGCCAGCCTAGTTATCGAAGACAATGACCAACCTACTGGCGCTAGAGAGATGTTAGGATTTGCTCATCATACGCCATGCACTATTCTTGCTTTTCCCCGTAATTGATGAAGTGGCCGAGGTATTTCTACAAGTTATCTCTGCAGAATGCCCAAAAATCTCTCATGTGGCTGGTTTCGAACTTGGCCTGCGTCCTACATATATGCTCCGGCTACCGCTACCAAGAGGATATTTCGCATCGTTTCATGTCTTACTTTCATGTTACAGTATCATCTCAAAAAACTTAGTCTACCGGCGAAAATTTTATTCAATTTTTCTTCGTCTCTTTCACACAGAATCCCTTTGTAGCTAATTGGTCAAACTCCAGTATTTCGCCAACATGAGTGTAACTCACATCGTCGTCTTCAACTTCAAGCCAGATGCCAGTGCAGTGTCTGTAAAGCAGGTAGACGCCAACTCTGACCCAAATATCTACCTCTCTTTCCCTGCTGATGGCGCAAGTGCTGCGATGAAGTGATCGGGCTGAAGGATCGATGCATCCTCGCATCAACCAGCAAGCCATACATTGCCAACTCTAAGGGTGGCAAGGACATATCCATTGAGGGGATGCAGGTATGACATTGGTGAGACCGGAACATGACATGTAGCTGACTGTGGATTACAATAGAACGGTTTCACTCACATGTTCATAACCGAGTTCAGCTCCGTTGCTGATAGGGACTATTACGTCAAGAAGGACAAGGCACATCACGATTTCATCGGCAAGTGGATCACTGCGACTGATACCATTGTTGCAAATGCCATGGTTATGGATTTTGTTGCGGGGTCATTTTGAGCCCATGTAGACAGAAAGCCAAAAGCCGAGGTCTCAGTGAATAAATTGAATTGATGGAGTCATAGTCATTTCAACATGCTGTCGTATTGAGCAACCACTGCGCAGCTCTCACATGGGTGAGCAAAGGGGTTGAGTTGGAGTTCATCTGCTTTCTTCACCACAGCTACTTCACAAATGCTTTCTCTTTCAACAAGAATGAAGCTTGGCATTGACCTCGGATATTCCCTACCTTCCAAAAATATGACTTAGGTATCATATTCAGGATGTTGGTAAATGTAGGGACGCCGGTTACTTCTCCTTTATGCCGCCATGTTTCAACAGATTTAAATAGTAAGGCTTTTGATATGCATTGTCAATACTCAGGCAGTTATTAGATGCAGTTTAGATTCATGATTTGATCGTAACTCATGATATTTGGTTTTTGGTTCACCAGCTTAAGCACGTTCTTTCGACTTATTTAGTTGCACTCTGTCCGTGATTGAATGGCAACCAGGATTACATCAGGACTCTTTACAAGCCAGAAAAAAAAAACGGGGGAAAAAAAAGACCTTAGTTTTCAGTTCCTTCATTGTCTTGCTGGAGAAATTGGCGGGGATTTCAAAGGGATCCAGGACACCAGCATCTCTATTTTTGAAACAGTGTTTGTGTTTAAAATCTAGCAGGTCAAAGACCATCAACAAACCTCTTTCAGATATAGAGCATCACTGGAGCAAACTTAAATGTGATAGGTCTTGGCTCAAATTCATTGCAGCGCGGTATGTTCAACCAAACGTCGAAATGCTATTTAGGCATCTGCATCACTCAAATCTCGGCATTGAACCTCGCCAGTGTCGCCTCTGGGGTGATTTCCGAAGCGTGTAATCTATAGATGGATTGAATTGGCAGTGTGATTTTTCATTCTCGAACGGGGTCTGGTGATGCTCAGGAAAAGATTCAATAATAGCCAATACATTTAAGAAAAAGTCCTAAGATACAGTAGATTAAATAGAATTAAACAAAGCAATTGGTCCCTCCCTCAGAGTCGGATGCGCAATAATAAGCGTTGAAATTTCCTTGTAGGATACGCCTAGTTTCATTACAAGCTGAATGACAGTAACCAGATCTCCAGTGGAAAGACCAATGGCTGTGAACCCAAAAACTTTTCTCCATAAACTTCAACTAGAGCTTTGGTAAATCCACGACTGTCTCCTTGCGTCCTTGATCTCAGAAAGGCAGTCATAGGCACTTTCCCAACGCGATATTTAATACCTTAAGTCTATGCATACTTCTCCCTAAGACCCACATGTGCCAGCTTATGCGAGGTAAACAATACTGACAGCACTTGACGATTCTTTGTAAAACATGGTTGTGCAGATCCGTTAAGTTGGGAAATCGCAACGCGGAAATCATCGAAGCCAATATGTGTAAAGTAAGGGTTCTCGGCACAGTCACCAACAGCATAAATACCATCAACTGTGGTTCTAAGCTGTTCATCTACTTTCACAAGGCTGGCTGAGGTAAGCTGAATAGCTGACTTTTCTAAACTGATATTTTAGGTATTCGGAGTGTAACGTCCTAATCCATATTCCTAGTATAAGGTAAGGGTTCCTAAGGTAATAAGCCTAGGTCAGTAGGTTTATATTAGCAAAAATAATAGGAAATTATTACATTATGTTATACCATAGTGCTAACAGGGCAAAAGATTAGGCCAATAATCGCAATTGTAGCAACTATTATAATAGAACCAGCTGTTTATAAAGGACCGATCGTTGTTGTAGTGTAGTAAACAAATTCCAATCATATTGCTATGTTAACAACTGGCTATTTAAGCTATCTGAATGAGTGTAGAGAATGTAAACTTATGTGCCCAGTTAATCCTAGGCTCATCTAGCTCGTTATACAAGCATGTAGAGCGCTGGCTTATCTGGCTCGTTGGTCGAGCTGCACGAGCCAGTTACTATTGGCTCGTCGGCCCATAGTTCCTCCAGTGCGGCCTACCCTGTAAGCTCATTGTCGCAGCCTCAAGAGCCAGGTCGTGATAGATTTGCATAAGACATCTTATTCGGATGAAAGACATACATTCATCTAAATGCAACCGGGTCGTGGAAAAACAACGTCTAACATGCGCGACTCGCGCCGGAATCGTAGAAGCACTGCGCAATGCCCCTGATCACATCTGAACCTGACAGAGGGTTAAGGCAGACCTTCTGCCCAGTAATATTCTTATAGCACCGGCCTAGCTTCCTGCCATCACCTCCAGCATAGTAGAAGTCATAGCTGTCAGAACCATCCTGGGTGTTGTAGAAGTCGATCCTCTTATTGCAAAGAATCTCCGTGAACTTGTACGGCCAGCTGCTCTTATAGTCCCAGGCGTCGACCGGTCTTGCGCTATCCATCTGCTTGCAGCCAGGTTGGTCGCCGCCGTTCGACAACCAGACATACTGGTTAGAACCACCAGTACAACCGCCCTGTCCGGAACAATAAGATGTTGACTCAAGGTCGTACGCAACCCAGAAATCGACAGCACCAACGGCAGATGCCGCGAAGGCGATGGTGAGAATGAAAATGTTTGGCAATTGCATCTTTACGACTCAACTATGAACTCTTAGCAATCTTAGGCTGTCAAGAAGGAGCTTCCTACCATAAAGCAGGTTATACAGAACTTACGTGAGGAGGTTGGGAGAGGCTCGGTTGATGGCTTTGGCCGCTGACTGGATTATAAGAAACGCAACTCTCTGGGTGCAACTCTCTGGGTATAATAATGAATCGCGCTCCAACAGCTTTTACACACCTTATATAAGACATGTTCTAGCACATACTCTTTATCGTGTGAAACACTACCAGTAAGCAGGAACGATGCCAGCGTCTCTGCTAATTATTGGGACTTTTGTCTTTCTTGGCAGTATGTTCGCTATGGCCGCCTGATCCGAGCCCCCTAAAGGGCCCCTTTACGGGCTCCTATTCTGGAAACAAGGTCACTGACATTGCAGGGATAGGTTTTGGACAAACCCTAACTACTTCAAATACTAACTTATTAAGTTGTTCCAAACTCAGAGTTGCGTATAAGTATCTCATTTAGCGGCCACTATTCTTTAACCCTTAGCGCAGCCATCTTCACTAACACACATGTCGTGCCATAACCAGGAGTGGTGGAAATTTATGTAAGCTCTTTACTATCTAACTGGTTCTTATGATTGATAATCACCGTCAAATACTCGGTATGCAAGTGGAAATCTAAGCGCGCTGCCCGGCCGGCCGTGCCGGACCGAAAGTGCTTGGCCTTCAGGATGCCTCGTGTACATACCTGTCAGGGCCAGAACAATCCAGTGACGTGAGACGAAGGACGCTTACGAGGTCGGTACAGGGTAGCAGCCTGAGAGCAGCTGCGGACATGGGACGGCGTTTGTGTACGTTGACAACGATCCCGCCTATCCCTCTATCTCGCAGGCCATAACAAGAATACGAGTAGTCAGCAGGGTCCGCAAACGCTGATAATATGTAACGCGGCTGGGTTGAACTAGGTCATTGCAATAGAGATTTGACCGGCGCCTCCAGTCTCGAGGGGATGCTTGCCTATCACGCTTGATTGGACAGGAGATAGCTGTTCTTATCGTGTGCGATCGTCTGTGGCTCTTGCTCTGCGCTTGCAACAGTGAAGTCCAATAAAACTGAGATGCTGCGCGTTATGCCTCGCCCCATTGCCGTCCTTGCCTACCTAGGTTGCAAATTATTAATGAGGCACTTTGTAATTTATCGATCTTTTCGGAGTAGATAGGTAGGCTGACGTACACGGACCGGATTGGTATAGCAAGGTAATACTGTACTGTTACACACTGGAACACCGACTACGTTATACTATTGGTACGCGTAATTACAGGTACCCCGCGAAAGGAATAGACCCACTGCAGTCCTTTTTTTTTTTTTTTTTTTTTTTTTAAAGGAGACGGGCGGGGGGGAGCATGCTTGCAGCAGCTGAACAATCTGCTAGTAATGCATGGCCAGATGATTTGACTCCCGCTAACTACCGATACAGAAAAGCGACTTCTCGTATTGGCAGGAGGTAAGCAAATCTTATCGCTGCCGCCTCTAATTAAAGATGCTAACGACTGACTAGAGGGGGATTCTCTTTACCTACTTGCTGCAACGGGATATCGACTGATAAGTAACCAAGGCCAGGGTAATCATGCGTAAACTTTCTAGAAAGAGAAGTTGAATTACTTATTAGGGTTACTACCCCGAGCCTTACTATTAATATTCATTAGTTGAGATGAATTACAACTGGTACCGGCCATTAGTTATGAGATATTATAGTGCTAATACTGGTACCAAATACAGTGACTAGCCAGAGCCTAATATCTATGTGGATACCTTTCTAAGATAGACTATTGTGGATCAATCTAGTTGTTTGTCTAAGCCATCCTGAGGCTAGGCATGAGCGCCGCAGGTTACGGCAAGTGACTGACTTAAGCCAAAAGAAGCCGTCAGCCAGCCTACTGAGTTGGTTGGACCTTACGGTATATCATGATGATCTGGGAGAAGTCATGATTTCCGCAGTAATCAAGCCCCCCGAATGTTGATCTCCAACAATCGTTATCTGCACTATACTGGTTACTGTTTTTGACTTCAGCAACGTAGGTTTGACTGGAACTCCTTACTTGGCGTATCCATTGGGCCAATCCATATTGCGACACTCAGACATGTCATTTATTACCTGACCTACGGTAACACTCAATGAGGTAGAACGATTACCTATTCCAGAAGAATGCTAGCAAGGATTATTGACGAAAGGGCGTATTGAAGAGGCACAATAAGCGGCTGGCTGCGACATGTCCTAGATTACACTGTGGCTGCCTGAACTTTAACTGGAGTCTTGATATTCGTAAAAGCCGCCTGTATCAATCAGCTGTGGCACTTGACTCCGTAGCATCCGGGAAATTCGGCCACTATAGGCTAATTCAACCTTGTTCCTCCCGCCCGGCTGATGCTTGGTGATAATATAACTTTAATCCCTAGGGTGATCTGCCCCACAACTCGCCTGTAGATTGTTCGGTCTGGACTGTTGACTAATTGGGTTAGTACATGCAACAAGGCTGTAATCATGGCTCCGTTACAATGGGCGCAGGGGCAGTCGCAGTTTTGAGGAGCTATCGAATTCTGAGCACGGAAAAGGTTGCCATTATAAAGATTGCTTGGACCCTCGGACGCCTTAGTTATGCACAGCTAACTTAAGAAGTGTTCTTCATCGAATGTGGCCTTACTTCTCCCGATTTTGTTTTGCCCATACGTTTTGGTTGAAAAAGTCACCCCGCCAGCGGACCAGGATGGCCAGCAACATGATTGAATACACTATCGGCGGGAAACCCGGTCCTGTCAAAGCTACTCGAACCATCGTTCCAATTCCGTAGGTCATTATATTCATGAACTGATAATCATGACGCTGCTAATTGAAAACACGCAAAGAAAACCTGCTGCGAATGAAGTGTTGATAAAGGTCATTGCCACGGATTCTAACCCAAAAGATTGGAAGGTATGTAAAGATCTTGTTTTGTTCCTTTTCGGCAGCAGCAACAGTTCCACCCGCCCCGAATATAGCTAATCTGAGCATGAAAGGCCTCCCGCAACCATGAAGAAGGCCATGGTATAAATCAAGGCGATGATATTTCGGGAATTGTTGAGTCAGTTGGAAGCTCGGTTTGGGAGTTTGCTCCTGGAGATCGTGTCTGTGCCTTCCATCGTATGTTCCAGCCCCATGGCTCATATGCCCAGTATGCGATTGCTCCGGCATCCACAACTTTCAGATTACCCATCAACATCTCTTTTGAGGCTGGAGCAACATTACCGCTCGCGAGCATGACAGCTGCACTTGCACTCTACCAGAACTTGGGCCTCCCCCTACCATGGAAACCTGCAAAGGCAGATATTCCAATTCTTATCTACGGTGGTGCTTCTGCTGTGGGAGCTTATGCGCTAAAATTTGCAAAGCTTAGTGGTTTGACGCCAATCATTACCGTTGCAGGGAATGGAATAGACTTTGTTAAGTCCCTTAACGCTGCAGATCATATCATCGACTATCGCAATGGAAATGTGGTGGAAGCGATCCAAGAGGCTCTCAATGGGAGAAAAGTACATCACGCTTTTGATGCAGTCTCGTACAATCGCAGCTATGAAAATATTGTTCAAGTGCTACAACATTCGGGAGGTGGTCAGATTGATATGGTTGACCCACCTAGCGATGACACCGCGAACCCAAACCGTGATCTCTGGAAATGGCCCGAAGGAATTAAGTTCACGAGAACTTTCGTCTCCAGCGCATACGGTACTCCACACAAGTATCGAAATGAGATCGAAGCCGCAGAAGATCAACAGTTTGCCTATGTGTTTTACCGATATATCAGCAGTTTACTCGCCGATGAGAGGCTCCAGCCACATCCATTTGAAGTTTTGCCCAATGGTTTAGAAAGTGTGGCAGGAGGAATTCAGTCACTCTATGATCGAAAGGTCTCAGCCCAAAAGCTTGTTTATCGGTAAGGCAACCCAGTTTTGTCCATGTTTAAGTAACCCAATTGACATCAGTTGACATTCTTGAATCGCAGGATCGCAGATACACCCAGGCTAATCTAAGCGCTCTCCGCTGAAGAATGTGATGTGAGGAATTGGAATATACAGATCTTTCTTCGCGCCGCTGCGCTTGCTGTTCCCAATCATCTTTCACGTGTCCGTCTGGAACAATGTGCTCAGAGCTAGTTCGACTTGTCATATTCAATAGCCTTCTGCGGTGCCAGTATACAGAAAGTCTTTTCGGGTTGAATGAAATTGAGCTGTTATACCAGTACCTTTAGAATTTAAGACAATAATCAGAGCTTATGGCGGCTCGCACAGCGCATTGTCAAATGCAGCACTAATTGGAACCACTGTTTGTTTTCAACGGGCACATAAGTTCGGAATATTGCCGATGCTCTCCGTAGCCTAGGGCGAAATTACCTAGTCTCCCAATTGCACTCCTTATGAATACGGCGACTTTTGTCTTTGTCGGGTTGGCAGCGGTAGGTCAGCGGATAACCGCCCAAGGTATAGCGGCTCTTTCGCTAAGCCAAAAGCTTAGCAAAACCCAAGACACTAATCCCGCCTTTGATTGTACTGTACCCCGAGACAAGCTGTTAGGTAGGTCACTCCAAGGCAGGCCGCCTTAAGCTACATGGCGGCATGAACCAATAAGAGCGCGAAGATAATGTAATAAATTGTACAGAGCTCTTTCCTCTTCCACAGTAGAAGGTCTGGACCCGAAAATAGTCATGATTGGACTTACCTGATGACTTGCTGCAAGCCTTTTGCAATTGTGTCCTCTGTGTGTTGCCTCTGTGTGAGGCCTCTCTCGAATACATTCGTATCTGGAATAGGTGATGAGTCATCCAACAGAACAATCTTCCTACTCCTTGAGAAGAGAAGGTTTCACGACAGGGATGCTAACTCCAGATGCTGACGTAGTCCGTTACGATAGTACCGAAGTCTCCAGAAGGATGGAGAATTGTTTAATTATAAAAGACACCAGGATACCAATAAAGCAGGTTCTCGCGTTACAAAGAACGAACGATCAGTTTATAATTTGGTTAAAACCTGACAAAGCACGTTATGGTGGGCCTACGCGGAGCAGCAAACCTAGCTTAGTTATTCGATTTCCCTTTCAAGGGTCACTAAACAGCGGTCTGTTGAGAAGGGGCATTTCTAGGCCAATTAATCTTGGACATGCTAATGTAAATAGAAGAATTGCGGTGGTTGCTTAATTATTTCTAATTTGAAACAGCATTAATAATTTTGCGCTCCACAGCGGCGAGAAAAGTTACCTCTTTGACTGGTAGTAGCAGTTGCGGTTTTAAGTATTTACGCTATTATAATTTAATGCGGTAGAGCGAATTCCTATTTCAGAAGATGCCTTGCGAAGTCTAGCAGCGCTTACGAAGCGGAGCATTGTATTCTCAGCTTTCGCTCTTGCCAAGTCCTGTTGCAACTTGGCATTCTCGGCCTCAATTTTAGCTTGAGCCGCTTCAAGAGCCGCCACCTTGTCCTCGAGCTGCTTAACATGGTTCTCCTTGCGCTGCCGAAATGCTCGCTGACTATACCATCAGACTTTTCATTAGTACTCACTTCAGAGAAACAAAGAAGTCAAAATACCAAAGGAATGCGGGCAAAACTTACGCCACTCGGTTCTTCTCTCTTCGTCTCGTCTTCCTGTCAGGAGGTAGTGGCTGAGTATCTCCACTAGATAGTGTTTTGCGCTGAGCCGGAGCTGATGTCCATATGCTATGACAACGAATGTGGATCCCAGCGCCAGCGTGATGCTCGTCATCTGCTAGGCGGCTACGATTGGCGGCAGCATGCGAATGGAACGGCGCAGGGTCTGTAAGGCTCTTCAATTGCGCGACAATACCGTCGAGTATATCCTTTTCATCATTGTTAATCCTTCGTCTTGCAGGCATGAGGCTGAAGAAGACATACCCGCTGCAAACAATTTTCCACATTTAAAGCTCCAAAGAAACTCTGCGGAATTGAGGAATCTAAGTCCAAGCACCAGGAAGATAACAAAGGTAGCTGATAATGTAGATATTCCATTCTTTATCATAGTTTCAATGGGTATCTGGGTGGATTTCGCTCGACCTCAACACGGGGTAATGACACATCTTTATGTAGCCGTCTAGCAAGTATTTCACCTCAATCTTTTCATAAGGCTACGGCCGTCCCCCAGTGGCACCCGGCTTTTAGTATCATCTAACATCGCCTAAAATGTAAGAGCTGCGCCAAGATTTAGACGGCTGTCTCTTTCCACGGTCGTTGTTACATGGAAGGCGATAAACACGTGGCTCGGACACCTGACGAGCCGGGGGGTTGATCCTTGCAGCGCCTTGCAAGTTTGCAAGGGGTTCAATCAACAACTGTGCCCGGGAATGTTCATGGGGCAACTTCTTGACTGCACATCAATTCTCTCTTAGGCTCACAACACTTCTAGTATGGCACACAACTGGCTGAGAAAAGGGGGGGAAACGAGTAAAACAACTGTTGAAACTTCTGACGCCAAACTCTCGAAGGTCACCGATATTGGAATCAAGGGACGTGAGAGTGTAATACCGTTGACTTCTTGGGTCTGACGCGTCACAGGCCTAAGATGTAATTACGCTGGCTCTGAAGTTTCGCGTCGCTATAGCAGTGTTTCCGGGCCGGTGAACTGCACAGGAACTAGTTCCTGCTGAGACTTGCCAAGAAGGTCTCCGAATAAGATTTTCTCAGCCTTCCTCTTGCTGAGTTTTGACAACCAACAAACGGATCCCTAGCCACATCCCGCATGACCAGACATAGAAGGTCGTCTTACGGACGCATGTTAGTCCACCGCGACTTGAAGTTCACAACGAAAGCCTAGTGCCTTGAAACAGGCATTTGTGTACGGTAGTAGGCTACTTCGGTGTCAACGAGTCCTTCTCGGGGCGCAATAGTCTGTGCCTCGAAATACAGCTTTCCTGAAACCAGCGTTTTGCACCATCAATGATCATGTAGCTGCTGTTTGTATCCTTGATTCTATTTAATGGAGTTAAATCCTGCGAGACCTTGATTTGACTGCACTGGTGGCTAACAAGAAGCTGATAGAAACTGGATGAAATATTTTCGAGCAAGGCAAGTTAAGCAAGGTCGCATTGTTTGATTAATGAAGTATGCATGTAAAGCCATATGGGAAGAGCCGTCTATGTTAACTAACGAAAACTCGATGTGTGGATCTACAAAAATATAAAAGTCCAGTTTGTTAACAAAAAAGATTTATTGGTAAAACCAGTTAATAATATCGCATTGCCACAAAGCGTCTCATATGTAGTGCATTTTTTTCTTAAAAAAAAATCTAGAATCCATATTCCCAAAGCAGTACCGCTGGCTTTATCTGGGATAACCTGTTTAAAATTGCAAGTCATAAGTATGTGTAGCTATGACGTTTGAAAGCTAGCTGGGACCTCGTCTTCACTTACTCTAGACACATTGTCGCTTGCTTAGACATTCTCTATTTCATACGACACGGTTCGGCTTATCCTGTGTTCCATCGCCCGCCACAAATAACTTTTCCAGAGCAATTCAACGTCTACTACAAGAATTCACTGCGTACACCTCATGGCGTCTTACCGCCTATAGGGTCCATAGCCGTGTAGAGTTCCTGCCAAAAAGCACTCAGTCAAGATAAATAAGTGTTACATATTTCCGATGGGTTTGTGTTTTAAATTCGCGCAAGAGTCTGCCAGGTTAAGATTGATCAGTTTATCCTTAACTTGATAAAAGCCAGCACACTCCGACAGAGGCGAATTAGGCCAAAGGGTGAGCTTTTGACTCGGAATATTTAGCGTATGGTTTCTTGTTGCTATGGTACAAGTTTAGCTACAAAAAGGCCACCGTAAATAGGGCACGGGTCTGTATTACTTCTATAACTCTACATACATGTATGTAATTAAGTATTGCATGTTCTAACAGCTACCGACGCCTAGATAGCCCTGACAATTAGACTCCATGCAGCGACGTACTAAATGATCTTCTTCAGCTGTTTGAACATAACCAAAATTGGGGTGAGTTTCTCTTCAGGATGGCAGAGAGTTGTGGCCGGCATGTTGATCAGTGATGAAGATGATATGAACTACACCACTACGCTCCGGCGTCTCTTAACCAGTAGCTTGACTCCGCTGGGTGGGAACACAGCCTCCGCAACCCAGCGGTTCGGTGGCCTTTTGCCACCGTACTCTTCGGGAAGTCGTAAATCGTAATTGGTGAGTACATAAGCGATAATGATCTTCAATTCGAAATCAATCAAGAACCTACCCGGGCAGGCATGCTTCCCATGCCCAAATGGAAGGTAATCCGGGCCAGTGGACACGAAGCTCAGTGTATTTGTCTTTGTCAGCTCTGCGGCCAATGCAGCCTCTCGAGCCCGCGAGAAGCGGAATGGGTCATATTTCTGCGGCTCATCGTAGATGGCTTCGTCGGCATGAGCTGGCTGGCCGAGGAAGGAGATCAAGCTTCCTTTGGGTAGTTTAATCTCAGTGTCAGTTTCCAAACCATCGACCATCACCTTGCGGAATATCGCGCGGCCTGTGAAGGATTGGCAGCGCAGTGTTTCGCGTGCGACGCTGTCCGCTTTCCACATGTTGGATATCTTTGCCTTGGTCCACGCTGTGTCCATGTTGCGGTTGACTTCCTCCCTTAATACTGCGATAGTATTGTACTCCGCATCCGATCCCAGGATATTCAGTAGCATGTTTATCACCTGGATGCTTGTCTGGTGCATAGAACCAAAATTGACGGTTGTAAGACGCCGGCTCATTATACCAAAGTCGTATAGCTCTTTTGGTCGCTCCTTCTGTGCAAATCGCATCATTAACTGCAGATGGTCCTGCGGTTCCACGTGCTGCGGTTCGTTCTTTGCATACTTGAGGGAGTTAAGTCGTGCCTCATAGAGTGGTTTGAAGTGTTTCTCTATTTTCTGTTGAGCGAGTCGACACTTGAGACTGGCGATGCGTCCAACAATAGGTCGCAGAATAGGTGGAGTTCCGCTAGTTATGCCGGCATTCACCACCAAGCCATCGATTACACTGAGAGTGTCTCGGAGGTATTGCTCATCACGGCCTGGGTGTATGGCAGTCTGTTAGTGTGCGTCTTTATACGGTTATAATCAGACCCGCTTACACAATGGCAACCCAACAGTAAAGCGACTGGCGCCCTGTGCAACAATCATCTTGACAGCCTCAGATAGGTCAATTGTCTGCCAATTATCCTCATCAGTCCCAAAATACTTGTCGAAGGCCACGCGTAACTCATCATCAAGGGCTGCGATGACACTCTCCAACATATTGTTCAGCTCCGTTTTAACAAGGTTTCCCTGCCACGGATCTGCAACGTATCTTGAATGTCCCAAGCTGTAGTAGACTTGATCCAGTTCCACAAAGGCGTCCCAAGCGCTCAAGAAGGCATCTGGCTGCGAGAGGACCCAGCGCATAGAGCTGGTTGGTAAGATCAACTCATTGCGGCAGCCAAAGCCAGGTATAATCACCGCCTTGCCTTGCTTCGAGTACTGTATATAGTTTTGTCAGAGACCACAAAGCGTAAGGGAATTGCTCGGCGAAACCCACGTTGTGGTAGGCTTCACGAAACAAGGACTCGCAGCTGGTCAGATACTTAAAGCGGGTCTTTAGGCTGAAGCTTCGTTTGCCTGTCCGCTCTCGTATGAGAGGCACGCCTTTCGGGTTCGGAATGCTAAGAAAGAGTGCATTGATGAGATAAATGGTAGCTAAAGGGACTATGCAATATAGCACAATTCCGTGTAGGGTGATCGCCCCTGAGATAACCAATCCTGTCACCATCTCGTTGTGCAGTTTCTGTTTCGGTATTGCTTTTGCAACAACGGAAAGCTCGTCAATTATCAATTTATACGAAACTGGCGACTTAGGCTTGAAAGTTATGCCTTCAGCCGTTTATTCCGCACGACAAATATTTGGCCTTTAGGACGAGGCTCCACATCCCCGCCTCAGGGAGCAGCCCATCAAGTGGCGTTCACGAAAATGGAAGTCGTATATCCGAACTTGGATTTTTTGCGGGAAGCTTCGATTACTTGAGCCGTTTGGGTGAATACACCCGCTGTATTCAGGCAAGTCAGGTTAGGCCAGCAGCTGGGGTATTGGGAGTTTCGAATGGAAGTAGCGAGATATTGAAAGTACGGCCACTTGGACAAGAAGATGCCACTATTTGGCTAACACGAACCAGCGAACCGAAACAGGCAAAATTACCGAAAGGGTCCGCCACGCCTGATTCCTGATCTGGCAGTCGAGTTACCAAGATAGGAATGATTGATTTTTCGAAGGTTGTCAGACTACATTCAAGGGCATTCAATCTCAAAATATTACTCCGTACTCCGTACGGAGTACATAGCCCTACATCCCATCCGCCTCATTCTACAGTACAAAGCGGCCGTACAAAAGTGGACTTATCCCCACTGAGGGGCGGCTCAAACACCAAAGATAGACCGAAAAGACCGACCCAATAGATCGAAGCGATGCAGTGCTTCTAACGAGTACACAGGAGGAAACGAGCTTGCAGGGAATCCATATAGCACCGAGCTAGAAAATGAAGCATGGTCTGCGACATGTTTTTCAGGCATCCGCTAATCTGAGGCCAAAGGTCCATTCTACATCCGAAATTGTAATTTCACAGAGGCTTGGAAAGTGATTTATGGATTCCAGCACTACTTATGAGCTCCCCGAATCATTTTAAAGTGACATCCACAGTTTAAGATAAGATATGTTGCCAGATTATCTGGTTGGAGTTGACCATGTCGAAACAGTTTGGACACACTAAAACGCCAAAGAGCCTTGGAATATGAAAGTATTTAAGATCATGGCTAGGTTGGTATACTATGGTGATTACCTTGAATGGGTAGCTGGCGGCCACCTTTGTTGTATTCGTTTTTTGCAATTGGGCAGTCAATTCTTTGGGATTATGACCTAGGCTCTTATCACAGACAAGCTCGTACTTTTCCGTTTCTGTCGTTTACTTGTTCTTTTGATTTCTTATTGTGACGAGGTCCATCCGACTTTTGGTAAAAGCTCTCCGGAGGTGTCGAAGAGCATCTCGACGACATGTGACTTGCTGCTAGAAGCGGGGAGTCAGATAGCATGTCTACTTCCCAAGGCAGATCATTCCACTACTCATAACATCGTTACATTCATCAGGGCCACTGTTCGATTCATCGGATGAATCAATAGGCAGCCTGTTACTGGATTTAGCAAAGTCTTGGGAAACGCCATATTCAGGAGCAATCAATTCTGATGGATGATCTCTGAGGGCACCGTATTTTACGTACTGTTTTCTTCATGTGCACATGCTAGCAAGAGGAGTGTCACACAGTACATTCATGTGCTACCCTCAAAACAATTTTCAAGTGCTACGTTGTCAGATGACTTACCCTCTGTCGACTCTGCGCCCAGACTTGAAGTAATTGACGACACCATCACATCGGTCATCATGAGAGGATATATAGCCTGAAAAAGCATTCATGAGAGGTAAAAGCTCAGACGAAAGCAAGTTCATGAATTCAAGCAAACAGATAATCTGAAAGGAGAAAATACGCGTATGCAGCTTCTAATCTACTATTTCAGTTCTTCAACCTTTAAATCGGAGTCACTAAATGCAGCACCATGAGTCGTACTTTCGATGTCCCAAAGTCCTACATCTATTGCTCAATGCTTAGATAACGTACCGGAGAGCCTGCAGCAGGCTGGTACTTAAAATTGAGGAATTTTAAAGCACGACGGATCTTTTGCTTCGCATCAGTAATTATTCACTATGTTGCTTCACTGATGGGAAAGAGGAGATATGCCTCTTTAAATGATCTTGTTGAAGGCTTAGTGGTTTAGCTGTGGTGGCTGAATGTGGAACAGAAGCTCCTGGACCGCGTTCTCCTCTGATGAAGCTTGGACATTTCGCCTCTTGGATTCCAGCGCCCATGCCAAACTCAATTCGAAAATGGCTGCAATTACGCATCAGTTTCATGATGTCAATGGGTTCCCTGATCGTTTCTGCACGAGGAGTCGTCATGTAATACAATGCGAAACATAAGGCCAGCAACAACCCCGCATGGCCCACAACATCCCAAGGCCAAAATATTTCTGATATCCTGAGTTCTTCACTGAGCAACTTTGAAGTAGCAATGGGTGCTGACCATACCAATAAACAGCGGAAATGCTGATAAGATCCGAAGGCAACGACAGAAACCTCAGCAATGGCTCATATGCGGCAACCAGCGCCCACGTAGCCAGAACTCATATAATAACTCAAATCTATGGCGTAAGGGTTCAAATACGAATGGATAGGTGCAGGAGCTTGCGCAGGCCGCTAGATAGGTAAAGGGAAATTCTTGTGTATCCAATTTGATTGTGCTAGATACTTAAAGAGTGACGCTGGAAGCCTGTTGCCATAGCCTTCAAAGAAACGATGAGAAAGGGAAGGTATCTTGACGCTGTTATTGACTTAACGAGATTCAATAGTTGTTTCGTGAATACTGTCTTAAGATATTCTATAATGGATCATCAATCCCAAATCTCAAGCTCATCAGCAATTCCCAAAACCTGATCAATAAATTCATTGACATGTGTAATGAAAGCAGAATGACCGCCGGGGTTGTGCAACACCCGCTTGAGTGTTGGGATCATATCGACGATGTTCCTCTGTGTATCGGGGTCAATAGCTCGGTCATTTTCGCAAATGACATAATACGCAGGTACAGTCAAATCTTCCAAACCAACAGAGACCGGGCCCAATAATGCCTCCTCTGATTGAGGCAGCAGTGCGGACATGAAACTGTCAGCCACATCATCCGCCATATGTGGGCCATAAAAAGCTTCGCGGGCTTTGGCGTTCGCCGTCGCTAATCCGTTTGCAAAGTCAACAATGTCTAACCCAGGCGGTAGAACACTAAGCGCACTGTCGCCTTTCTTTTGAGGTATATTACTCGTGACGAAGATCACGGCGCGAATGCCCCCTTTTATGCCCCTGGCTTGCCTTTCCGCCTTTGAATAGCCTTGTGCTGCTATTGTAAGGGGGGTTCCACCATATGAGTGAGCTATGGCAAGAAAGTCTTTGCCTTGGTCTAAGTACGGATCCAACGCAACCTGTATATTGTGTCCATCATCTTCCACGGTTATATTAGGATCCGTACCGACGCTTGGATGCCGGACAGCGATGACAGGTGAAAACCCAGCCGCCTCAAGCCGTCTTTTGACTTCATCAAAGCAAGAGGGTAGGTGAAAGGCACCATGGGAGAGTACGATGCCCAAGGATCTTGGCTTGTCGGCATCCAACCTTTTCATAGTATTTGAGTTATAATTTGTCATTGAGAAGAAGAAAATAAAGGGTAATCGAACATGCAACGAAGTGAGGGCAGTGATTTTTTTTGTATATGATGCTATTGTCACTTTACTCCAAGAATGGAACAAAGGGTTTGGTGTTATATAAATAGTGACTTCGCGTCAACTACCTTCGGATACGTGGGCATTTTCGAGTGGCGTCGGTCACCTCAGTGTACGAACGCCGAATGATGAGTAATTAATGCTTTGTGTCAGTGCTTGGTAATATCCCAGATATAGAAACTCTTGCATGCTGCCTACTCACTAATTTCTTCATGTTTCGAGGTATGGACTTAATCCAACTTGATTGGCAACTCTGTTGATATTTGGAATATTCTTGCTCCACTCAGACCCCAGTCACTGGCCGGAGAGATCAAGTCTCGGACGGCCCGCGCTCTAACTAGAATGAAGATTACTCTTCCAAATCAAGGGCGACTAATACATAGGGCGCAACTTACTAATTACCGCTAATGGCGCTTCCTCATTGGTGAATTCAATCTGCGTCTCAGTAAGGAGCATTTATCACGATCCACTGGTTATGTGTTACGATCTGGTCAACCGTAACAGCAATCGGTCCTTTATAAAAAGTTGGTTCCGTTACAGTAATTGCTATAATTGCGATAATTGGCCTAATCTTTTGCCCTGTTGGCGCTACGGTATAACGGAACGTAACATGGGATTGTATATAGTTATATTAACTTAATATAACTTTAATCCTATTAGTTAGATTATCTATAGTTCAGCTATGTCCCTGCCTACCCAGGAGGCCTGTTGTTGCAACTATAAAAGGTTGGTCGTGATAACTCTATACCGTCGCATTTTAAACTACCTACAGTAGAATATAGTTCCTTCACTTACGTTACATTATTAAACGGGTTTAGGCATATCCAAGAACCTAGTTTATAAACTACCTACTTGGAAAAAGTAATTAAAGCACTACCTAGCTTTCGCCATACCGTAACCTAATTGCGTATCATAAATATATACCCGCAATAGTATTAACTGTTCCCTTTACGAGCAGAAGTTAATTGATGTTACCAAACTTCTAAGAAGTTGTCCTACTGGGAAGCTAAGGTAGGTATTTACAAGTTTCCACAACAACATACGTTCCATAATTATCTATGTTAAAGTACCTAGCAGCCTGGGGGGCTTTTTAGTAAGGTGTCTAGTCAGCGTTCCAGAGCACTTTAACCGTAATATAAATGCAATGTATGAAATGTCTCGGCCGTCTTCTTGCCGTTTAACCTTTCAGGTCTCGTTCTTGTTAAGGGGTAGAAAAATTATATATTTGCTCTATGTGAGGAGTCTGAGTTAACCTCTGTAGTGCAGCCACAGAAGCTGCCTATAATACTCATATAATAATCCTATCTTCTCTACACTCTTCAGAATACCTGACAACATTAAATCCATAGTCATCTGCAATATAATAAATAACCTTACATAGCCATTGCGCCTCCAGGGACTTAGAGCTAATGGTGCGTTGTGCAACTTGAAGAGGGAACATAATTTGGAGGGCGCCGCTTTTCCCTGGATGGCTCAGAAACTGGTAGTAAACCAATTTGCAAATCTCTCCAACGACCTCTTCTGTTGACCCATTTCCGGGAGCTAGGAAAATTGATGGCTGCGGCCAGCTAGAATTACCCTCATCGAATGGATATGTCAGACCGATGTAGTCTGGAAGCTGCTTCCAGAGCTGTTGCAGAAGGACTAAGAGTGCGTTATACATGCAAAGTTCCGTAACCCGAACAGGTTCGGAGAAGAAGATTGCCGTGGGGAAGGGGTACGAGTCCAGATAAGCGACCCCCAACTGCTTTAAAATGTCCCATCCCACATTAAAATAGGTATTCGAGTAATCCTCTTCCCATGTTATCCTCCAACCAATAAGCTTTCCGAGGAGTGCCTTAATTTGGAGACCAAGGATTACGTAGGATACTGAGAGTTCTTCCGTTGCACCCGTACTGGCTTTTAGTGCTTTCATGTCTTCCACTACACCAGGCAAGTGGCAGAATATGTCGAGAAGGCAATCCGTTGTTGTCTTGGAGGTCGGATCATTTGCCCATGGTACCACTTTCCAAGTATCTTCTTCGAGAAAACAGCGTTGGTTCCGAACGAGATATGCAAGAATCTAAGCCTTATCAGTAAAGATGCAGATGGTGGCAATACGGTATCTGCTGACAATAGAGGAACGCGTAGTTAGGAATAATTCTTTATCGTTCCCAGTCTGATGATTCTGAGCCCCTCGAAACTTGATCTGCGACGGAACAAATACCTGTCAGATTTGCAGAGCCAGAGTCTCTATGTAATATCTTACAAGTTGTCCAATTCCCAGAAAATGGCTTAGCCATCCATTCATATCACTGAAAGAGATCATCTCATATAGTGCTAGCAATAAAGTAGTCACTAAAGTATCGGTATGCCGGACTCGCTCAGAGTCGATCAATTCTCTCCGAAGCTTACGGAGGACGTGGGTATATAACTTGGCGCCACGTTCGACTGCGGATAATTGGCAGTGTGTCTTTCCAAAATACATAGCAGCACAAGCTCGGATGGCAAGGTCCGGGATGCGGTTGTGATTGGTCGCCCGAATTGAGGCAATTAGCCAGGGAGACACACTGGATTTGCTAGTCGAAATCTCGACTTGAGAAGCTGTAAAAAGACTTCTTATAAGGTAGGTTAGAAACAGGCTGTCCTCATCCACATTGGGGTTACTGGGGGCAGGGGGTGTCGAAATCTTTGCCATGACATTATTAAGTTTCCTGTCATCCTCCCGAATCTCGGCAAAGGAGAGGCCGTCGATAAAGACAGGGAAAGCATTGAGGCCTTCACATGGTAAGTTTAGGCGAACACAGCGGCGACAACTAGGCTGAATTTCGTCTAGATTCATTAGCATAAATTGCCATGTAGACGAAGATCAGGCTTCCCAAGTTCTCGAGATTATAATCCTTACCACATTTAACCCGGGCCCGACGACAAGTCTTGCAGCCACGACTTCTACCGCCAACGCCAACCATGCTTTCATATTGCAGTGCCTCCGTGACCAAAAGCTGTCTATCTTTCGAAAAATTGTATACTGTAGCAACACAAATGCTTCCAGAACTGAGAAAAAAGATTGAGGAAAATTAAGAATTTGATATGATTGCGAGCCGCGACGGCGGTGATGCGCCTCTTATTAAACCAATATCGCGGAATGAGCCAAATTGGGTTAAAGGCTGCTGCGATGAGCATGACAGACTGTTTATTCAGTATCTCGCTAAATTGGTCTGGGTGGGTCACACGCTCACAGGAGATGCTAACTAGATTTGTACTTTTGATTCAATTACCAATACGAGTATACATAAACAGGTACATTGCTTTCTTTCTATTTCTTTTTTGAAAGATATTAAATATATTATACATAATCAAACGGCACCTTTCTATACCAATAATAAATACTCGTACGTGCGGTAGACTAGGCGAGTGGCTACGCCGCCGCTAATGAAATCCACGTGGCTGGCAGTTAAGCTACAGTCGTGAAATGCACCGCTTTGAGTTAGTCGTGAATTTAGTGATAACGTGCCGGCGCAAATAAGCTTCCATAACCGTCTTCTGCGGAGCCTCGGGGATTATATGAGCGAGGCCTCAGCCACTAGTATTCCGGCCAAGAAAGAAGACAACAATGTGATTGACCAGATGAGCGCGAGATAAGTTGCCCAATATATGCATGGTATCGGCAAAGGAATTGTTAGAGGACACTAGGAGCTAGATGGAGAAGATGTAAAAGAATTAGGACTCCGGAAAATTAGGTCTTAAAAACGAAAGTGCTAGCATCAATGATCCGAAATCATTGGTTTGTAGCAGGAATCTTGACCGCAAAATCAGGGAGGTGAAACACAGTATAGACAAGGTCCACACAAATGCTACTAATAAGAAATTGAAATCTGCAAGTCATCTATTAGATTAGGTTGAAATTGATAAACAAAATGAATCGCTTCTGTTAGGACAGAAGATAGGGAAACTTTTAGAGAAGGGGACCAAACAGAAGGAAAGGGTCTCCTACAAAAGCATGGGAAACACAACAAGGGTGCTGATGGGAAGATGACCGAGAAGTTGCCATGGATGTATATTGATCCTATCCCGAACGGTTCCGTGTTTCTGTGACAGTCTGAGCACCAGCAGGATTCTTGAATTAAAATTTCTATCATGCCAAGACGGCGCCGTCAAGTCCCAAAAGTGTCTTTTGAACCAATAACATCACAAGTTGCCATCGCGAGTTAAGCTAATGCAGTGCCAACGATCTTTTTTTTTTCCCCGAGGCTAGTGGCTATAATACCCCTCACCGGATGATCCTTTATCTGCGCTTAACTTGATAAGATGGTCACTAACCGACCTAATTGCAGATAGCTCGTGCAATTATCTCGCCGTTTCCATTTAAATAAATGCATACTAACTATATTTTCAAAGGCGTAGATTGTAAATCGAAAAATATAAGAAGGAAAATTAACGTATAGAACAGAGAGGCAACAATAAGGCAGAAGATACTGCGATGCAGGCGTAGAATAGGACTGGAATAAACAGAAGAAATGACCTCTTGCCAGCTATAAGTTTCTATATCGTAGATTAAGGAGATTCAATTCCTTCGTATTCAGATGCAGTATCTTTATCCTTGCTGAGAGAGTTGATGATTCCACAGATTGTGTAAAGAATGACAACACCAAATTCTGGGACGAGGCCCAGCGCTAAGTATATACCCCAGTCACCTGTGACAGGGTTAAACTTTGCGGTATGTCCGGTAGAAGAGCTAGTATCGAGATTTATTGCATTTAGCCCCGAGTAAACCACTCGTACGAATAACATAGGCATCGCCAGAGTTACTGATAAAATCAGCTATTAGCTTAAGTCAGTTGACATTTCTTAATATAATTCGATGGAGTAATTTATACGTACTCTCTTTGCAGAACGTTGAACATGGTAAATGTTTGCCATATATATAAGGCATGCGAAGGCCATCAGTACCCAAGCAAGCGCAAACACGCCCGATGCGGCCTGAAGTTCTCGCGCGCCGTCATCCAAACTATTTTGCGACGTTTTTGTTCGACTGACACCACCAGAAACGCTGAGGAAGAGGCCGACGATGATGAGCAAATGAAGCGGTTTCAATGCCGCAGCAATGTGACGTGTGAACGATCGAGACTTGTTCAATCTAGCCATGTTTAGGTTTGTCCCAGGTTTTATGAGATAGGCTAGTACATACCCAACATTCAAGAAACTCAATGAAGCGTTGAGGAGAGGCGAGAGTGCGACCGTGTTCATGATAGCCGCCGTCGTTGTCAGATTCTGGTCCTTGCCATTTTCGATCTCCATTGTCATGATCGATCCCGCTATCTTGACTGCAGCAGTGTTTCTAATTAGGTAAAAATTTCCATAATAAGAACCTACAATGGACGGAAAACGTACTGATAGTAAATATAGTGAGATAGATCCATCCAGCGTCTCTTCTGAAGCCATGTCGAATGTTATTGTAAATGCAAAAGAGGCCGATAGGGATGTAGACAATCACTTGCACCAGTGCAAGTTTTCCGTGGCTATCGAGGGTCATGTTTCGACAGGCAAGCGAGATCCAAGCCGGTTAGGATATACGTTGAGTAGAGGACGTTGGATTTGGAAGTTGGATTCGGATGTTGAGGTTGGATGTTGAAGGTGGAAAGCTTAAAGATTATAAGTACTCATCAGGCGCTACAGCTGAAAATGCGCGCCTAGATGCAGAGACACATGAGGGGGAACGAATTAGAGGCAGGCAACGTTAGAGGCCAGGATGATTCTATATCGCACAATCCTCCCGATGTGGCTAAGCTTCGGGAGAAGCCTGTTCTAATGAATAGGCTGCTACGATTCATGGGGATATCGAGGCTGAATCGCTGAATCCTCCTCTTTCGGCTAGTCTACCCTGAGAGAATTCATTTAGAAGTGATAGTATGAGTGAATTGGCCTTAGGCATCGTACTTAACTCCCATTTCGGATACGTTGGTTACCTGATATACTGTCAGTAACCAACAGGCCATGCGTGGTCGCATCCAATCCTTCTCTGGAGTTTTCTCGCCTGTTACTGTGCTAGTCCCGGGTTGGGGGATTCTGCGATCGGCTGAATCAGTTAAATCTTCCGCACTTAGAGCCCCACAAATGCTATGATTTATTTTGCAGCTGTCAATTGTCGCTATACGGTGGTTATCTAGTCTCAGGGAGAGCGGTTTGATCGAGTTCCAAAGTATTTTATAGGTAGATCTCGCGCAATATTTCCTGCATCTGTTCTCTCTACAAATATCTTTTTTCTCCCTCACTGGCCGTACTAACGATTCCTAGTGTGAGAGAGTGAATACAAGATCACAATGAAGCTGTTGACTGTGTGCATCGCTTTCCTATCCCACCTTTGGTATGAGCCCGTGGCGGCAGAGTTCGACTACATACAGCGGCGGGTCATCCCATCCCGTAAGCTCAATTCTTAGCCCTGTTCTAGAACAAACTGCTAGACTGAACCTCCTGAAAAGAACTGACAGACTCTTTTTCCAAAGCAAATTGTACAGGCAAGGGTGGCTGGGCTGACGCCTTTCACCAAGCGAAAACACTTGTGTCCCGTATGTCTGTGGAAGATAAAATATCGCTTGTCACAGGTGTCGTCTTTAATCGCGCAGGATGTGTGGGCAACATCAATGCCATAGACTCAATCCATTTTCCGGGTCTTTGCATTCAAGACGGACCGCTTTCCTTGCGTAATGCCGATCTTGTCAGCACCTTTCCGGCAGGTGTGACGACGGCGGCTACTTGGGATAGAGCGTTGATATACGCTCGGGGTAAAGCACTAGCGGCTGAATTTCGTGGAAAAGGTGCTCACGTTTTAATCGGGTATGGACAATAACATTCTACATGCACAGTCAAGTTTCTAACGCCTCGAAGACCAGTTGCTGGCCCTCTGGGCAGACACCCACTTGGTGGACGAAACTGGGAAGGGTTCTCGCCTGACCCGTATCTGACAGGTGTGGCTGCCAGTTACTCCATCAGAGGAATCCAAGACGGTGGAGTGCAAGCATGCATCAAACACCTGATTGGGTATGAGCAGGAGACTCAGAGATCTAATACTGTATCCCCAAACGGTACAGAAGTCGCTGGCATTTCGTCCAACATCGATGATCGCACTATGCACGAGCTCTACCTCTGGCCGTTTGCCGATGCGGTAAGGAGCGGTGTCGCTTCAGTCATGTGCAGCTACAATCGCGTGAACGAAACCTATTCGTGTGAGAATTCGAAGCTGTTGAACGGGCTCCTCAAAACAGAGTTAGGCTTCCAAGGCTACGTGGTATCGGATTGGTTTGGGACTCATTCTGGGGTTAAATCCATCCTGTCGGGGCTTGACATGAATATGCCTGGTCCGCTGGGGAGCGATTCAATATCCCAGAGCAACAGTTACTTTGGCCAAAACCTGACTTGGGCAATTGCAAACTCTTCGATCCCAGAAAGCAGACTGGATGACATGGCACATCGCATTCTTACGCCGTACCTACACCTTGGCCAGAATAAAGCGTTTCCGGCTATCGATCCTTCCAATCTTTACGTTCTTCTCACTGATTACGGTATTTCTCCCAGCGCTTATGGTTTACCTCCCGCGCCTCCTGCACGTGATGTGAGAGGCGATCACAAAGATTTAATCCGCCAAATCGGTGCAGCTGGTGTTGTTCTACTCAAGAATACGCATTCAACATTGCCACTGAAAAACCCTGAAAATATTGGATTGTTTGGATACGACGCCGCAGATGTATCCGACGGCGTTGCTTATCAAGGCACGGCAACCTCGACTCCTGAGTTTGGCTTCAAGATGGGTACCTTGTCCGTGGGTGGCGGTTCTGGCTCAGCTCGAAATACTTACGTGGTGTCCCCGCTCCAAGCTATTCGTAACCGGACCAACGCTCGCTTGCAGTATATTCTGAATAATGAGTTTATTCTACGGGGGGACTTTAGTTCGATTTTTCCAGAACCTGATGTCTGCTTAGTATTCCTCAAAACCTGGTCGGAAGAGAGTAGGGACCGCGTGTCCTTTGAGAATGATTATAATTCCACACTAGTTGTCGAAAAAGTAGCATCATTCTGTTCCAAAACAGTCGTTATCACTCATTCGTCGGGTGTAAATACACTGCCATGGGCTAAGAATCCCAATGTTACCGCTATTCTTGCTGCACACTATCCAGGCCAAGAGAGTGGCAATTCTATAGTGGATATCTTGTTTGGAGACATCAATCCATCCGGTCGCCTCCCTTACACAATTCCTATCAAAGAGGGTGACTATGGTAATCTCATAGTCAATATTAGCGGATCTGCGGCTTACGATTCGTCAGCATGGCAGTCCAACTTTACAGAAGGGCTCCTAATCGACTATCGACATTTTGATGCGAATTCAATTACCCCTCTATACGAGTTTGGCTTTGGTTTAAGCTATACAACATTTGAGCTACAAAAGCCCATCAATGTTAAAGCTATCTCAGCCATCCGCCAACAGTTTCCGAACGCAGCCTCCGATACGGTGCCTGGAGGAAACCCCAGCCTATTTACAGAACTATTCGAGGTAACAACAAGCGTCAAAAACACAGGCTCGGTTGACGGTGCCTCAGTTGTTCAACTCTATGTTTCGTTCAACCACAAAGACATGCCAGCAAATACGCCTGTGAAAGTGCTACGCGGTTTCGAGAAAATCAATCTACAGCCCCAGAGCGAAGCCTTTATAAAGTTCTCACTCACTCGACGAGATCTGAGTTTCTGGAACGTAACGGCTCAAGATTGGCAACTTCCACTTGGCATTGTGAATTTGTTGGTCGGTTTCAGCTCTCGCGATATAAGACAAGCCAGAAGTATCAGGCTTTTTTAAACTACATTCAACCAATAACGCTGTATATAATACGTAGCAATTAGGAGCCTCTTATACTATATAAAGTATTAAGTAACAAGCGGCGGTTTAGAAATAAAGCATATCCCCTCTTATTTACTGCCCGGATCATCGCCGCTTGCGGCACAGCACTACCGGCTTGTTTTGATGGTTTTTGGAGCTGCAATATAATGCCACCATATCTCCTCCCAGCCCAGCCTTACGCCGTGAATTACCTCTCTTAGCGGTTGATGACATCCACCAACGGGGCACAGCGGTGAATACCAATGTGTGGTCTCTCCTCGGCTTGCTCGAGGGTCGCCATCTCCATAGCCACTTTACGCAGCCCAAAGTATACAGATCCATGGTGAGGTGCCCGGCGCCCTGCTTCCAAGATTACACCGCCCTCTAGATTAGGTGCTATTTGGGCCCATGCAACTGGGAGTAATCAGCGAGCCGTAGATAATGACCTAACAGAGAAAGCTTCAAACTAACGGTAAAAGCGCTTACGTCGAGGCAATAGATTCTCTCTAAAAAGAAAAAGCCGTACAGGCACCTCTACAAATATGGAAAACCGCAGGTATTGCTTAAATGACAAAGAGATATACAATTCTTCTGAGATGAACACAGCATATGCCCTCTAGGCATGAATTCGTTGAATCCCTTCCCACATGACTATGAATTATAGTCAGAATCTTTAAGGTTTCCTATAGACAAGAAGAAAGCTCACTTTGGATGGCCATTAACTCCTCCTTCCAGAAGCAGAGTTTTCCTCACTAGGGCTACACTGCTGTGTTCCTTGATGAGAAGTTCCTGGAAATTGATCCATGCGGCAGTTAACGAGCTGAACGGCAACCCTTTGGAGGTCTTTTGGGATAAGAGTCTTGTAGAAGACTGAACTCTATTGGTCAGCTCTTGAAAAGCGATTTTAACTCAAAATGTCTGTGAAAAGATAGAAAGTGCTCCCGTCTTGGCTCTTCCTATTGGTAATTTTAACGTCTTCTTCTACCCTGTTTTTAAAGAATCGTCCCCGACAAAGCCCTCACTATGAGGTAAGTCACAAAATTACTAAGGGTAGCTACAGTTTCCAACAGCCGCAGTCTTATTTAGTTAATAGTAATAGCTATTGAAGGACCCAAATCCTGTATTTATGCATTTTTTGGCTGTGGCCATTCACCATGCTGAAACCCTATATCTGCTGAGAGATATAGCCAACTACATCTCCCCAGGAGAAGCTTGTGCGTCTGACTGTAAGCAGAAACGCGGCCATAAACCTAATATGCGGCCACCAAATTAGACCCGGACCAACCCGAGATGCGGCGAGGTTGCGAGACTTATGGCTCCATATGTCGACTATAATATCGGGTTTCCCTCGATGCTGTATGTATTACCTGCTAAGCATTGCCAATGACAAGGCACTCTAATACGTTAACTTCCTTATGGAATTGGGATAGTTGCATAGAAGATATTTGTAATATTTTCTTACAAACTCAGCCGTACTCTACATTACCGCAAAATCAGGCCAAAAGGACTTACACTTATTCTAGCTCGCATAAGTTTTAGTCAAAATCTCTTTGCCTATTATCGACATTAACTATTTTTAACCCCTTTAATTAATGTAAATCATCCCATTCAATTAATAAATAAAATATTGTCAAAAGACTGGGTTTGACGTAGTCTGTATAGATTTGTGGAGCAACTATACTTCGCCACTCCTGGCACAGCCCCTGAAGTCCTAAAACAGATGATTTTGCGAGCAGTGAGTTCTACAGTAGCTTAACGTACAATTGTCGGTGAAATAGGTTACTACAAAGAGAAAGCCGAGGTACATTATCGTCAGGGTCCTAATTAGGGGCTAATATTCAATCCAAGGTATATAAAGATGTAAATAAACCGCACATCGATCTTATTTAACCTCAAACCATTTATCACATTGCCCATTCACTATATCATAATCACTGCGATTATATATCTCGTTCTATTCAACGACCATGAATTTTCTTAAAGCATTTCTACTCAGTGCATCTTTGCACTCAACGGCTTACACGGCGTCTATATCTTCTGATCACAAACCCAATGCTCAGCAACTCGCAGACCCAGCCTATGGCCCAGTGCCTGGGCAAAATCCGCTGTACAGCTCGTATAGGGGCAAGGCCCCTCCTTTCCCGGGGAATATCACTGATCCTATCAAACCCACTGCGAATGGCCCGCCGGGAATCGACGACCTTGTTTGGCAGAATTTACTCTCTGCCGAGTGGGTCATCTTTTCGTTCTATCAGAAGGCGGTAGAGATGTTCAATACTACGGCTTTTGTTGAGGCTGGCTACCCTAATACGACGTATGATCGTATTCAAGAGATCCGTGATAATGAAGCTGGTCATCTGCGGATATTCCAGAACGAAATTACCCCCAATTCTGTCAAGCCTGGAGCTTGCAAGTACTCATTTCCATTTGACAGCCCAACATCCTTTCTGGCGCTTGCAACACTGAATGAGATTTCGAGCATGGCTTTCCTGACAGGACTTGTTCAAATGGCTAAGCTGCCTACTGCTCATGGTGCCATGGTGGCCATTGCTGCTACAGAGACGCGGCACGAGACATGGGCTCTTCTTGACATTTGGAAGACAAATCCATTTGCAGGCCCTTCTGACACCGTCTTTCCTTACGCTAACGAGATTCTCGACTTGACCAATACGTTTATTGTTCCTGGGAGTTGTCCGCCTGAGAACCCGATTTACCCATCACCGAGACAGAATCTACCTCCCTTTTCTCCAGCAAGTTCGACGAAGTCGATAGAGCCGGGCAGTAACATCGTCCTGAACTTTACCGACTCAACCAATCAACCTAGCTTCCGCGAGGGTATACAGTATTACGCAACTTTTTTCCACGGTCCCTCTAACATTAGTGTACCGCTTGATACAGCTAGCTGGCCCCATGGGGGTATTGAAGTTAGGATTCCATCTCAATTTGAAGCGAAAGGTGTCATTATTGTTGTAGTGACAGATACAATTGGTGCCCCAACGTTAACGACTGTTAAGGCTGGGCCGGTTGTGCTTCTCGAACAACCTACGGGAGTTGGCTTAATGGCATTGTAAAACACTAAGGTAGTGTTCCCGCTAACTTGCATACCTATACTACATGATACGGTTATTTATTTATACTACATAAATAAATAATATAAATATAAACTTATATTTTTAATTAACCTAACTAAAAGTATTTTATGTTATATTGATTAATTATATATAACTCTTTATTTTATTTATTGAGTTATTCAAGGTTCACCTTAGGTTCTCTTACCCTATGGACTTACCATTGTAAATATAAACGTTAAGTTTTCTCCTGAGTATAGGTGATAAACTGCCTAAAAGAACCAGTATCAAAAGAAGCTTCTGATTGCAGATTCGCAATTTTATTGATTGTGGATTTGGTTATTTGTTCAGCCATATTGCGATAGATTGCGATTAGCTTGCGGCTATTGTGACAGCGAGAAGAAGTAGTTGTTTGATTTCGTTGAGTTGTTTGCATAGAAAACTTATAGTTATAATTTTAAAAGCTGTATATTATAATATATATACAAAAAAGTCCAGTTTAAACAATACTGTTTCTGGGCTTCTTAGTGCCAATATTTTCCTGTAGTTGGTCTAACAAGCTCCCAGGCATTGTTTAGCGCAGTTATGACATCCTCTGGTAGCGGTCCCTGTTCCAAGTCTAATATGTTCTGCTCAATATGTATAGGGCTGCTTGCTCCTATTAACACAGCATCTGGATAATCGGAGCCAAGTTTACTGTGGTTAGTCATCCATCGTAGGGCTACCTCGGCAATTCGCAAACTATGTTTATCAGCAGCCAGCCTTATGATCTCCAACGCATTAAAGTACGCATCGTTCCAATATCGTGCTCGATAGCCCTTCCCCTGTGCTAGTTCTGGGTCAAATCGAGACCCTTTCTCCACAGAGGTGCTTTTATCCATGTTGCCAATCAGGAAGCCACCGGCGAGGGGGTTGTACGCATAAAATCCCATGCCATAATGCCTCAGGCAAGGAAATAGCTCAGCCTCAACTGTTCTGTGCAGCGCGTTGTAAATGCCTTGGTAAGCGACTGGTCTAGCCCAGTTGTTGGCGTCGCAGATCTCGCAGATCTGCGCGACCTCCCATGCCATATAATTAGATATGCCAAAGCGATCAAACAATCCCTCTTTGTGAAGCTCGTTGACTGCTCTCAAGGTATCCACGTAGGGTGTTGACCGATCAGGCCCATGCAGATACCACATAGCAACTTTATCGGCTTGCAGGGCTTTTAAAGATTGTTTGAGATTTTCTCGCAAGTGTTCTGGCCTGTGTGTCCATTGGTCCTTATCTGCTGGCAAAACTACCGTTGGGTAGATCTTCGTGTCCATAACAATACCCCGAGCCTGCCATTTAAGCTTGCCTAAATACTCTTCAGATGTTCCAGAGCCATAATAACGCGAGGTGTCAACTTCGTTATAGCCATGAGATTGGAAGATATCTAAGAGTTCCTTGGCCTTGTCTAGATCGCTTGTAACAGTTAGTCAAGAACATGCGTTTGCGTCGTAGAAGGCGACATACGTAACCCGAGACTGTTCTTTGCCATTGCCAATGGTCATAGCCCCGAGAACAATATTAACCGCTGATTTTCTTGCCATAGTCATAATTCTCTCTAACCTGTTTGTTATTGTTGCTGTGATTGCTGTATCGTTGTATGCGCAGCAGGCGTTTAGTAAATGAGGTTCATTCCTTATATATATGCCGGAACCTGACTGGCAATAAAGTAGGCGAGTGGGGTTAAAGACAAAGTCCGATAGAAGCAACTGGGCGCTGGAGATATCTTATGTCCGTTCATCTCCCAGCACGCCCCTATCTGCTCCCTTCGTACCAGAGAATGCTGCAGGAGTGCCTGAAAGGCCACACGCTAGCATGACATATGCAAGTTCGGAAGGGTTTTGGCTTCAAGCTCGTAGCGCAAACGTAAAAGCGGGTTTAATGAACCTGATCCTATAATTATAATAGCTGGTTTTAAGAGATAAACCTCGCAAGCTCTAGGTTTATATTAGCAAATTAGTTGAGTGAGTTAGTGTAAAAGCTAGTTGCAAATATACTATACAATATAATTATATTATACAAGCCTAGCTAGTTTAGTTTAGCCTTATAAAAAGAGGGAAATTTAAATAAAAATATATTAATAATAAAACCAAGTTAATAGCTTGATAATTATAGTTAAATTATATATATTATTATTATTATTATTATATATAGGTTAGTGTTAAATTTGACCTTGGCTGGTAGGGCTATTTTCCAGACAAAGGCAAATTGAAATGTTAAGAGCGCTGAGGGGAAAGTTAATCTAGCTTTACATAGCTCACGTGCCTTTTTCAGCTTATTCTTTGCACCTTAGATGATGCAAACGCACCCCGTAACTAATATGTGCTTGCCCTCTGCAAGGTACATTTCCCGTCTGTGCATTTGCCCTATCTGTGATTTCTGTAAGATGCATTTGCTATATTTAGTCCCTGCACTTACACTGATATATTATGCGTATAAATCAACAGGCTAGACATTGCATCCAAAGTATATAAGCAGTGCAATCAGCCGTACACACGGAATCTATATAACCTGTTTATTATTTAGTAATTTTATAATTATAGGATATTTAATAGTATAGTGTAAGTTTTTCCCCCCCTTTCGCTTTCTTACTACAGAAATACTAACAGTTTCTAGTATTAACAGCAGGCCAATGGAAACTTACATATAGTAAAGTAGACAATGTCTGCATTAATATGTCGCCTTAGCTTTGGCAATCCCCCGCAAATGTGGGCACATCGGACAGAGTACAAAAAGCGAGAGCGAGAGCAACTCTGATTACAAAGGGCTTATTTTCGTCATTTCCGAACCTTGTTTTAAGACAGGGTTAGCCTCCACAATCCTTCCAGGTAGTCTGCGACGAGCCATCGCCGTTCTCCCCATCCCATCCACCAATATGCTCCCGTCAGCACGCAAGATTTCTAACACCCGAAAACGCGACCGATATGTTTCAAACGCCTGCAATCGCTGTAGGTCCGCCAAGGTTCGTTGTAACGGGAGGTTGCCATGCTCTTACTGTATTCCAAGGGATCCCGAGTCCTGCTATTACAGGCCTCAACGTTTCCCCAAGGAACTAACCACCCAACATCAGCAGCAGTCTAGGTATGCCATGATCATCCAATATAATGATTTCCTGAACTAATACCCTCAGTGATATTGATTCGACCGAAGAAGAGAGCCTTAAGACGCTACTGCGACAACAGAACAACAAGCTCGATACATTACTCAAGCACATCTCCAATCTACAACAACCATGTCACCCCCAAGATAGTCTCTCAAGATCACCAAGCAACTTATTCTCATGCTGCGAAGTGCCACTTCCATTACTTCAAAGTCCGACAAGCGCCTTTTTTTGTTTTCACGCAATCGATGTGAAACTCCGGGCCTTGGACATTCACACCGAAAACGCCCAGATACTAGATGGGGCTAAGACCTGTCCTTCTTCATCCTTCTCAATTTTACATGACCACATTTTGGATGGAGGGGCAAGTGACATGGAGCAATGGGATGGTGGGGACGCTAGCATAAGCTCACGGAGTCCAACAACAGTGGACGGTGTGCCTCACAAATATGCGCTCGGAACTCTCAAAAGCGCAGAGATCATTCGCCTGATAGAGAAATATCAAGATATAGCGGGTATGATGTATCCGGTGATAGATACAACGCATCCGGAGCAATTAGTCGAAAACGTGTGGGCCAGCTGTTCCGCTGATAAGGCGAACACGGAGACCCTTCCTCAGTGGAAAAGAAGCCAGAAAGGCATAGTCGAGATGATGGTCGCTATTGCTCTGACGGACGAAAACGAGGCTGGCTCAGGACTATCGCAGGCCCTTCATGATGGCGTGTTACCAGACGTTCAGTATATGGTCTGGAATACGAGAGTTGATTTGCAAGGCTTAGTACTTTTGGCACTCGTGGTACGTGCCAGCTAATTCATTCAGCAACAACATTTCTAACATCAACTAACATACTCAACCAGAGTCTATACTACTATTATTCCAATCAGTGGCGTGTAGCCTGGCGTTTCATAAGGAACGTCGCAAGAATTATCCTGGAACTGGGATTGAATAGACGGATTGTTCTGGATCGGTCCTTTCCCGATAAAAAGGCACATACTCAGGCACTTAATACAATCTGGGCCGTCTTTGTGCTTGAACAGCAGCTGAGATACGCGTTGGGGCTCTCTACAACTATGCAAGACTTTGTTCTGGACCCGACTCTTCCGAAACCGGTAGCCTTCCCAATTCCCCAAGTGTAATTGGCTCCGCTGACATGTCGCCCTTTAGGTCAACGCTCCGTACTTGGAAGCAATGATTCGCTACTCTCGGATTGGTGCACAAGCATGCGAAACAATATCCTGTGATGGACCAACTACTCAAATGATGATGCCCCAAAACTGCCAAGATGCGTACACATATTTCCAGTATCGCCTTGGCGAATGGCGGAAAGCGATCAAGACCCAATTCCAGTTCAAGTCCACAAGCAAGAGGGTAGATCAGTGGAACAGCCAACTTGACGCAATCCTTCAACTAAGGGCAAATAATTTGCACATTGTAGTGGCGAGATTTATCTTCTTTGAGAAAGGATTTAGCGGCATGATCCCAGCCGACCTGTGGCTCATATGCATGGATGTGGCTGCTGATACCGCCTGCATTTTGGCTACCATTGATGGCTCTCCTGCGACTTTCCAGGCTACCAGATCCGAATCAAACTATTTTCTTGTCTCTTCAATGGGCATCGCGTTTCTTGCTATGTTACAAGGGTCTCTATTCTCGATGTCGGCACAGAGCCCACTGAACCCGGAAGCGTGCCTGAGGGCTCAGCAAAGCGCGATTCTTTGCCTCAATTTGCTGCGAAATCGAGCGGAGTTATCACAGCAATCAAAGCATTTGTGGAACCGTGTCAACGATCTTGCATCCCGCTTGAATCTCCTAGGTTTCTTGGCCCCCATAGCTTCTAGTAACACTGAGGAGGACCCAGTTACGACGGAAACAATGAGCGTTAACGAAATATCTGAAAGACACACAAAGCATTGGAGAGAGTACGGAATGGCTAGCTTGTCACCAGGTATTGTAGAACTTGGGTTTCCTGACAGTGAGAATAGCGCTGAGGGGCCGATCATAGCTAGTAAGAATTATTCATTCTTTGATGTAATGCTTTAACTATATGGGTACAGAATATTTCAGACTGATATAATAATACAATTTACATTACTTATTCTTTGCTTTTATAACTTCAAAGTGTTTCGTATATAGCTTACGCCATTAATATAAACATAATTGTACTGTTAGACACCTATACTAATACTACACATAGCAGTTCAAGATACGAATACTATTGGTTAATATATCAGTATATATACTTTTGCATAAGGCCTGGTTAATACTAACTTATGTACAAAGTAAGAGTTAATATACTTTTATACTTTTACCTAATTGAATACAGGTTTTTGACCGACTCTGTAATCGATTAGTAGCTAGGATTGGTAACCAAGCCAGGTCAAGCCCGGTTTCTTAATATCAAAGAGGAATGCTTTCTCTTTCTAGATAACACAACTAGACAAGTTATTCGTTTTCAAATAACCTCTAGCTATACTAGCAGCCTTGTTGTAAGGGAAGGGAGCCGTGAGGGCTAGGTTATATGATTTACTTAACTTATTTTCGAGCCGTGTCCTTAGGGCATTCGGACAAATTGGGTTTCTGATGTTGTGTTTTTTTGTTAGTTAAGTCGGTTTCAAGGTACGTTCCACAACCGAGTCTTAATGATAGATATCGAGCTATCTACTAGATATATAATGAGTTAATTCAGGGGGTATATATACATGTGTGTTCCATTCAGCCTTGAAGTTTCTCGTACCAAGAACCCCAGTCTTATACTAGGACTTTGTCCTTCTGCAGTATAAATACTCCTGATTGGTTTGTTTCTTTTCTGGTCTTGTTGTATTGGCATACACAGAGGGTGGGGTTCTTGTTCATCTTGTTCATATTGCCGTTGCAGATCCTCTGGCCACGACATGGGTCGTGACACTAGCTCTGTCGCTTTCGTACCGTACAAAGGAGCGGCCCTTTCTTCTCATCAACACCCAGGCTGTCCATCTCTAACGTTTCGTACTTGTTTACTGGAGTAATTTCGAAATTGCGCCAGACAGCACAAAATACTTTGAGGATATTGATGCTGGCAATGTTTCTGCCAATGCAAGCTCGGTGTCCGAGGCCAAAAGGCATGACCTCGTTAAACGAGATGGCATCGTCCAGCCATCTTTCTGGAATATATTTGTCATGATCCCCGCCCCAGAAACCAGGGTCATGATGTAGAGCCTGTGATACCATTGAAACTGTAGTCTGCAGTAAATTAGTATATCTCATATAATATTACTTTCTGAATATAGCCTACACCTTGTGGAATATGGAAACCGTGGATGTCAACGCCGCTGGGGTTTGCAACGAGACGGGGTAAGGGCATTGTAAAGACCGGGGTAATGCGGAAACTCTCTTTGATGCATGCCATGGTATATGGTAGTTTGCTCTCTAGTCCCGAATATGACACCTCCTTTCCGCCTTCGTTATAAAGAGGTACATTTGAGGAGAGTTCTTCCGTGAGTTTCTCGGCGGCGTATCGGTTATGGAGGAGGTGATAGAAGAGAAGCCCTAACGTGGCGGATGTGGTATGTGCTCCTGCAACCCTGCATTCTTTCATTAGTTGCATTTTCATTCTTGGTGTTCTTTACAACGTACAAAAAGGCAAAGGCCTCTGAGCTAACCTCTGTTGGCGTCAATGGTGCTCCCGTTGTGGGATCTTTTGCCTCTAACAGGCTGTCCAGCAGAGTTTCCTTTTCTCCTGCCTTGTGATTCTCAATAGCATTATTGACGTACTCAGAAGCCTTCTGGCTAAGCAGTTGTCGCGACTGAATCAGCTTTTGAAGGCTCGGAATGGGTAATTTGTTTCCAACCCGCATGCTATAAGGAAGTAAGGACGATAGCATGCCATACATTGTGCCAATGACGATATGGTCAGGAATAGGTGGCAACTCATTGGCCGCCGGGTTGCTTTGTGTGTTCAGATCTTTTTCGAATGCTAAGTCACTTATCACGTCGTATGCATAGCATGCCACACTCTGCTTTAGATCAAATACTTGCCCCTCCATCTGTTGCTCGATATTAGAGAACAAGCGGTGCAAATGCTTTCCAAATCTATCTTCAAACTTTAGCAATGTTGCCATAGAGAAACTATGCGACATCTGACGCCTTCGTATTTTGTGATACTAAAACCAATTAGCGTTCTCTTTGCTGCATCTAAAACGACGAGAGTTCCCACCTCTTCATCACGAGTACTGAAAAGATTGGGATGCATTGCCGTAAATGCATCGTAGAATTTTGTTTTAGGCATAGAACGCCCAGCTTTATAGATGGGGTCGATGGCGTCTCGAGTTTGGAAATTGACATGGTTGGGACCAATTCGAATTACAGTGCCATACTTCTCGTGCGCCTTCTGTACAGCAGCCGCCAGGTCTCGTCTGTAAACATGGTACACCTGCCATAGAGGAGTTCTGCGAGCCCAAAAAGGACCGGGAATCTTTCGTAAAGGATGAACGAAGATCCAAATAAGCAGCCAGACCAAGGTACAAGGTATCAATATGAGTGGGAGCACAGTAGTGCTATAGGAAGCCATTGTGCTTAAAAAGATCGATCTTTGAACGAAGTTTAAGCCATAGGTAGGAAAGATCATATTTCTCAACGCAGCTCGAAAACAAATGTTTCTTGTCGCCTATTATATTTTTCTGATGGACTCATGCAATTCTTTACATTCCGAATCATACTATGATGGCATTCGGTACCCCTAAACACATACATACGATTTCCGATGGACATCATCGTATCTTGCGAACAAATCTCCACAGGTTGTCACGCCTGCAACGGAACGCTTGATGAGCGTCAATCTCCTCCCGATACCATTAATAATACTCCACAATAACTACGAACCTATGGCATTGCTCATCAAACGATCTTCATCGAAACACTTGAACCTGCACGTGCTAACTATAACCGACACAATACTGCAACCAAGCTTCCCTCCTACATCTACAGGTACCCTACCTTTTAAGTACCCCTTTACTAAAAACCTTACTTTATTCAACTAACTATTAAATAAAACGTCTTTTACATTTACTTCTACTACCTTAGCTAGGGATCCTAAGATAATAATAACTTTTACTAACCCTTAAGTAATTTAATTAAAAAACTCCCTTACTATTATTAAGCAGATAGCTTTTAAAAAATAATAAAAAAAGATTATTTTTTTTATTTTAAAAGAAAATAAAATAATTATTTTTATTTTTATTTTTAAAAAAAAATAATACTTTAATAGTAAATTTATAATAAATAATATATTAATATTTTAATTAAATAAAAATAAAATAAATTTTTTTTTTTTTATATAAAAACTTTTAAAAAAACTTAGTTTTTTTTTTTTTAATAATATTAAAAAAACTACTGTAATTAATTAAAAGTATAAATCTTTTATATAAAATAAAATTATAAAATAATTAATAAAAATTAATATAATATATAAAGCTAAATAAATTATTTTTATTTTAATTATTATAGCTATAAATAAATATTTAATAATTTTTACTATAGACTACTGCTTAATAATAATTAAATAAATTTATATTATATTAATAATTACTTTTAAAACCTTTTTTTTTTTAAAATATAATTTAAAAGATTTTAAAAATTTTAATATTTTAGGTAATAAAAAACTTATTACTTAATTATTTAAAAAAATATTAGCTAATATATTCTATAATATAAAGGTTAAATTAAGTAAAATTAAAGGATTTACTAAAATAATAGTAGTTAAAATTATTTTACTTTAAAAATTAAAAAAAATTAAAAAAGTTATATAAATAAAAGTTATATTATATAAAACTATTTATAATAAAAACTTTTAAAAAAAATAAAATAATAAAAAAATATTTATTTTTAATAATAAAAAATTAATTTTTATTAATAAAAATAAAAAAAAATAAAAATTAAAAATAATTATATAAAAACTTAATAATTATATTTTTATTTAAATCCTTTTAAATTATAAATAAAAAAAAATAATAGTTATTAAAGTTAAATAAAAGTTAATAAAAGGAATAAAGTTTAATAATAATAACTTTATTTATTTTTAAAAGGTTTATTTAAGCTTTACCTTTTAGCTAAAAAATTAAAATATTAAAAATAAAATCTTTATATTTATATTAAAAATAAAAAAAAATAATTTAAAAATTAAAAAAGCCTATATATAGAAAAGTTTTCTTTTATATAGTATTTTAAAAATATATATTAATAAGTCTAAAACCTATTTTATTAATATATTAATTTTTAAAAAAGTATATATTAAAATAAATATTAAAAATCTATTAACTTTTTATTAAAAAACTTCTTTTAGTAAAACTTTAAATATTTATTATTATTTTATAACTTTTAAAAAAAATATAAAAATAAGCTTTAAACTTTTTAATTATTTAGCCTTAATTAAATTAAAAATATAGTAGCTTAAGATTATATAATACCTCTATTACTTTAGTTTTTATAACTTTAAAAACTATATTAAAATTAAAAGGTATATAAAATATAAAAAACCAGCTGTTAATTATAAAAATATTATAATTAACTACCTCTCCTTTATATAATATATAAACTGTAAAAGAATATATAAAGTTAATATATTTAAATACTATATTTATTTTATAATAAAAGATAAAACTAAAGTATATTTTATTAAAAAACAGCTTAAAGTTATTAAAAAATTAAATTAATAAGAATTTTTAAAAATTAACTTTTTTAAGCTTACTAAAAATAAAAAAAAAAATAAAAAACCTAAGAAATTATTAACTAAATATATTTATAGTTTATTATTTTTAAACCCTTTAGTATTTTATAAATAGTTTATAAATTAGGTTATTATAAATGTAAATATAAATATAGAATCTTTATAAAAAAGCTCTTTAGCTTAATTAAGAATATATATAATAAAGTTTAAGGGTAATAATACTATAGAAAATAATGTTATATTTACTTAAGGAGGGTAAAATAAATAATAAAATATTATTAATAAATAGGAAATAACTTTTATTAAAGTTATTAAAAAAATATTAACTTTAAAATCTTTTAAATTAATATAAAGAGAAATAATCCTACCTAAGATATTATTTTATTAC